TTTGTGCATAAAAATTAGAGTGGTCCATTTTCAACTCAATGAAGCTATCAGGATAAATCAGACAGTAAAAAACAGTGAAGACATTGACTTTTGATTGTGTCACAATAATCACTGTAGTAAAAGACACTTATTCATCCAAGTCTCAATGGTTCTCATTGTCTGAAATACCTAAAATTAAGTCTCCAAGCTCATCATCATGCTTCTCAACAGTCATTTCATCAATAACATTGCCCTCAGTCATCTCAAAGGATAACTCAGTTGCTGAGGATGGCCCTAGCTCATGGAAAATTAATTCCTGGCAGCAGAGTGTTCTCAACACCTGAATAGCTTCAACAACATCTCCACCAATGTGATTGCACCTTTTTGTGATTATTTCAGCAGCTGCATGAAAAAGCACGCTCATTGGACACTGAAGAGGCCATAATGGACAGTTAGCTGCATGAAAGTGATCTGTCACACCCATGCATCTCTGGTCAAACTCCGATCCATGTTTGCTCCTTTGGTACTACTTTGGTATCTTCGGCAGCTACTTCGTAGCTGCCAACACACTCGGGAATTATCAGTCAGCATGTTTTCTTGTGACCAACTCACTCCACATTTTACCTGTCATTACTTTATGCCTGTCATTATTCCACAGTTACGCCTGCCATGTTTTGTATTCTTACGACCTTCAGTCTTCTTTGGTGATTACTCATGATACTCCACACTTACGCCCGTAGATATCTGGAGCTTATCCGAAGATCCGGACTTACAATATAAATAGTGGTAGCACTCAACTTGTATTCAATAGTATGAATATTGATTTACTCCTGCCCCAACATTCCTGTGGCCTTTGACATTCTTTTGTGCTTGTCATCTCTATTCCAATCATACTCCAAGTCGACTTGACATTGACTTGTCATCTCCATTGTACTCTGCCATACTTAGCATCTTCTCCTTGCTTCTACGCACAACTCCTCTACCTTCGCTATCTCTGGTTCACATCTGGTCCTTCTCCACACTTCTTCATATCTTTGCTAGCATCTTCGGGACACGGTATCCCTATTGAAGCATAGCTCGAACATCCTGGTTCTCCCTGGGCAGACACGGTGTTGACATGATCCCCAAATAAGGTACAAAGGAGAATTCAACTGTAGCACTGATTAGAACCATAAAATGTGATACAACAAGATAACTTACACCCAACCAATGGACAATAGATATCTCTTCTGGAAGAGGCATCTCAGAGCCAAGATAAGCATGGAATCCTTGAGCCTGAGGTGCTGAGGTGTTTTCAGCTTCATTGTTTGCACCATAACTGTCTTTGGGACATTAGTAACCTGCTGGGTCAAATCACCTTATTTACTGACATAACTCTCAAGGCTATATTATAATTGAAGGGCAAGTGAGTCAGATAATGCCATAGCTAGATCAGGACACAGCACACTTTGATTAGAATTTCCCCCAATTAATAAAAACATCGTACACTAGCTAATGCTTAAGTTCAATTTATAGAACCTTTTGTTACTAGAGTAGTTGTACAGTCATACTAACATTTTTTTCAAAATTTTAGCTACAGGCCCTGGCTTAGGCCCTGGGCTTGGGCTTTGCAACAACCCAGGCCAGGCCCTAGGCCCTCAAAAGCCCTAGCCAGGGCTCGGGCAGGGCTTGGCCTATACAGGGCTTGGCCCGAGGGCTTTAGGGCTTCAGGCCTGGCCCTGCACAGCACTACTGGCATATGTACAGCTTCTCCAGGATGCTACAATTGACAACCACCACCACGCCCTATCACTCGCAGCTCGACACCATCTACGCAATCCCCCTCGAACACTTGTCAACCTAAGCGCCAACCAGGGGCTACGCGTGTCCCTCAGGCACGCGCTTGTCGGCGACACGCAACGATCGTACCTGGCTCACTGTGCCATCACCGCCGACGAGATTCCTGGTCTCGACACCTATAGCATATACCGGGCTGACCAAGCCATCAAGGAACTTAGCGGGGTCGAGGGAATGCGAAGTGATATGTGTATTTAATCTTGTATGGGTTTCACAGGTCCCAATGCACACCTGACGCAATGTACAAAGTGCCACCTATCTCTCTACTGCCCGAAAAAACCAAAGCCTGGTAAATCTGTTCCTCGACTGACGTTCACGTCAAACCCCATTGGCCTTATTCTGCAAGCGTTCACACGCAACCCCACAATGGCGCAAAAAATGCGCTATCGTACCGATCGCACCAACGAGCTCCGAACAGCAGATCCAGCAGAGCTCGAGACCTTTGACGACTTCGTCAAAGGTTCTCAGTATCAACAGCTAGTCGACATGGACATCATCAAAGACGGCAATCCTGTCTTGATGTACGCAGCCGACGGTGCCCAGCTTTATGAGGATAAACAATCCAACTGTTGGATCGTCGCTATGGTCATCCTAGACATATCACCATCCGAACGGTATTAAAAAAATATGTCATTCCAGTCGCTGTCATACCAGGGCCGAACAAACCTCAAAACCTAGACTCCTTTTTATTTCCAGGGCTCTACCACCTCGCAGTAATTCAGCGCGAGGGTCTGGTGCTATTTGACGGTCTCATACACGACGTCCGCACGTGCAACCCATTTCTCTGGGTTGAGTGCGCTGATGGCCCTGGCATGGCGCTTTTAACAGGTCTTGTCGGTCACCACGGCAAGAAAACTTGCCGTCTCTATTGCGGAGTCCCAGGCCGGCACATTCCCGACAAATCTCATTATTACCCCGTTTTACAGAGGCCCACTAAGCCTATCGAATACAACGAGGCAGGTTGCAACCATGACACGGTGGATATTAACAGCCTCCCGTCTCCTGGGGATGGCGATTATCAGGGTAATCTTGCCCATGTTCTCGCTGCTCGCACGCAGCGAGAATTTGCTGCTCGACGCCGAGAAACCGGCATCAGAAAGCTGAGTATATTTATGGGTATACCGCGGTCTCTGCCACCTCCTTTCGGGTGGGGCTGTGACATCATGCACCTCGCCGCAATTAATGTGGGAGATCTCTTGATCCCCCTGTGGCGAGGTACTCATTCTACAGAGGGAGACGACCATGCTTCCCGCTGGGAGTGGGCAGCATTAGCAGACTCAGATCTATGGCGCAAGCTGGGCGCTCTTGTTGGTTCGTGGGCGACACACCTCCCCATTTCCTTCGACAAGACTCCGCATGATCTTCAGAAAATTCACAGCCATTATAGAGCATGGGAATGGCTTATTCTGCTCTATGGATACGGTCCAGCCTTGTTTTTCGGTGCGTAAACCGTCCTTCATTCATATTATATTTGTAACTAAGGCTACATGAAGGTATACTCGATGAACGTTACTGGCAACATTTCTGCCGCCTTGTCCGGGGCATTCGAATCCTCCAACAATGCTCGATAACGGCCGATCAGCTCGCCGAAGCTGACAAGCATTTAAAACTATTTGCTTGGGAGTTCGAGACCTTGTACGTACAAGGTCAAACTAACCGGATACATTTTGTGCGCCCATGGATTCACGCTATTACCCATCTCGCCAACGAAACAGAGCGCAAAGGGCCGCCAATTACGTGCTCACAATGGACACTCGAACGAATGATCGGGGACCTCGGCCGAGAAATACGCAATCATGCAAGTCCCTACGCTAATATATCAGCCCGCGCTACGCTCCGCTGTCAAGTAAATGCCCTCAAGGCCCTCTATCCGGACACGTTTGACCCCGAGCATCCGAATTTACCGCGTGGTGGCGAGGATCTTGGCGACTACTATGTCCTTCTTTGTTGTCGGGACCGATATTCCCGCACCGTGTCAGCGGCCGAAGAAACTGTCCTCGCTGACGCTCTGCATTCCCTCGGATACCAGCTTGAAGATGCACCCCACGTGCAGCGTTGGGCCCATCTACGACTGCCCAATGGACAGATCGCAAGGTCGCTCTGGCAAGAAGAAATCATGACCAGGGGCGTCCGCTGTTCACGGAATGTTTCGGTGGGTCAGACATCTTATGTTTTTCTTTTCCTCATAGACATATTCTGTTAGTTTCAAATACCTGGAGAGGACACGCCTTCTTATGGCGAGGTCCGTTATTACTTCAAGATGAGGCACCCATCCGTCAAAGCCTTTGCCATGGTCTCAGCGTACGGATTGCCTGATCCCGATTTACGACGGCGTTCGTTCAACACGTTACACGCATGCAAACACAGAAGCGACGAAGATCTTTGCATTATTGATGTTAAGAACATTCGCTCGGTTGTAGCTATGATACCTCATAGATTCCCTGATAGTCGTGATCTCTTCTTTGTAGTTGAGAAGCCCGGGTTATCTTTTACTGTATTAACTGGATACGAGGAGCCTTCTCATGAATAGATATCTTACTTTTGTCTTATGTGAGTGCGAGCAAACAATTTCTGATTACATTCAAGCAGTTCTGGTATTGTATTACAGCTAGTACACTAGTCACAAGCGCACTTAGCGCGCTTGGCGATCGAGCGCATGGCTCGCTGTCTAATAAATGTCTGCCACCTCTCGTCTACATCTTCTTCGGCTGACAAATAGCCCTCGTTGTCCCCTTCATTATCCTTGTTATTCAGCTCCTGTAGATCATATATAGATCAATGACAATGATACCAGATTGAAAATGACTGTACCTCGTATGAATAGTTAGTCCAGAACCTGCGCTTGACACGGCGGAGAGGTTGCTTCGGCGGTTTTCTCGGCTGGTAGCCCATTATCAAATGGGGTGTATAGGAAATAGGAAATCACTCACCTTGGTCCCTGTGACCGGCTGATCTCCGCCGTCATTATCCTCGAACTCCAGGGGAGGGTACTCAGGCTTCTTGCGCTGATGATATACTGGTGAGATGGGCTCGGCAGATATTACATCATGGGCGTACCTTGAGTTTGGGCCTGCTGTCAACGTGTGGGATGGTGTCGGTCTTTTGGAGCAGAGTGTCGACAGGTGCAGGTGCCATTTTTGTTCCAAGGTGGAGTCCGCCGTGTGGGTCAGGCGACGTGTGTAACTCATTTAGCTTCGGAGCGGACTTTGAACCTTATTTACAAAGATAATCTACCCTCGCTCGCTCGATAAATTTGGTGACGCACCTCCTTCCACTTGTACACAGAACAACATCAAGACATGCCTTCTGATTTTGCATTCAACGGATCCGACAACATCCTTGGCGAGTTCAGCCTGTCCGAGACGCTGAGGCGCGCGGGGATAGACGGATCTGGGGATCAGGTACATGGTGATATGATCTAGCCATATTTGTCACCGACGGCAACACTTCATTTGATTAGGGACATGTCTCGCGTGAGGCCGAGCTCCTCAAGGAAAATGAGGAACTTCGCACCAAGAATAGCGACCTCATGAGGCGTTGCAAACAGCTCGAGTAAGTAATTCACGATCACGCTTCTCACGCTGACTATATGCGTACCTAGGAAAGCCGTAAAGGCTCTATGCGAACGTCTTCACCGAGAAGCTGGGGCTGCCGAGCCGAATTCTACCGCTGGCACCTCGGTCTCCACATTGCCCGCTTCCCCATTTGACTCCGTTATTGCAAAACTCAAGCGCGACCTTCAGCTATTCCAAGAGACGGGGCTCGATAACGTGTCCGGCCTTCGGTACGAAGACAACGTCAGCGTCATTCTTGACCTCGCCGACTACCCAGGCTTGGAAGGGACGTGGACCTCAAACAAGTTCAAACCCCAAGACGAGGCTAACAAAAGTGAGCGTACTCGATGCAAGAGCACGGCCGACGGCTCTAAGGGGAAGAACGGCCCGGCTCGCATAAGCCAGGACATCAACGACACTCATCTATACATCACAGGCAAAGACGGACAGCCCGTCAGCGGGACTCTGATCGGTACCATGCGGAAGGACGCTCGCGAGCTGTTCTATGAGATGGGCGCTCGTGTTCGCCTGCCTCAAACGTTTGGCGAGCTTCCCCTTACCGTCCGCATGTTTACTTTCCGCTATCTCTGCCATCACTTTCCTGTCCTCCGCTTATGCTACAGGAATTGGAAGGCTCAACGCCTCTCGGAGAGCGCATACAGCTGCATGATTTTGACCTACCAGACCCGGTATGACAAAGGACAGGGGCTTGCAGAGGCAGAGAAGAATGGGTCAGAGGAGGAAAGAGCAGCAAAGCGAGCTAGAATTGAGGTAAGTGTTTTATTTCTCTGTCGATCACTTCTGATATTGACGTTGCTAGTGCGCTTCTCCTGCTCCCACTGACGCTCGAGCCAATTCGGTGGTAAGTCTTTCATTCTTCTGTCTGAATTTGTATTGCTACTCTACCTACAGGTTCCCGAGACGCCATCTCACATCTCATCATCGTCCTCCCCTTCGCTGGACGGAATTGAGCGGCCTGCGTCGACGACAGAGGCGTCATTGGCTGCCTCATCTATCGACACAAATGAGCAGCCGACCTCTGCATCAGAGGAGTTGTCATCAACCTTCTCCGCAGACGCTGACAGGCAGTCCTCGTCTGCGACAGAAGAGTCGCAGTCCGATTTTCCGTCCGACATCAATCAACCGCCATCAAGCTGGCGTTTCCAGCGCCGACGTCTGTGAGTACTTGTCCGCCAGGAAATTCTATTGCTAACGTAGGCCTAGGGCCGACAATTATATCAACTTATCCGAGTCTATCAATCTACTGCCTTCGACCCAGCTCGCTCCCGTGGATACCACAGACGGTCCAAGTACCCCCATCACTGGCACCTCCTCGAGTCCTGCCGCGCCGTTATCTGCTTCCAGCCCCGAAACTCCCTCAGAGCGTGCAGCTGACAGCGAGGCGCCGAACGTGCAGCCAGCCAAGCGCTCAGACGTGTCCGAGCAGCCCACGGAGACCAGTGCGATAGTCGCCTCGACTGTGGAGATGCCCGCGGCAGAGGAGATCAAGGTGCATACAAGCACCGGACAAGGTGGTGCACCGATGGCTCCTCTGGCGGAGAGCTGCACCATGTGAGTGCCCAATACGCTGTATTCACCATTATCTTATCTATTACAGGCACATGTACTACGCGAACTGGCCCCTCAAAGGGAAGGGGACCAAGTACGCGCTCTCTCGCGACTTCAAGAAACTCTCTGAGGAGGAGAAACTAGTGTGTTTTGATCCTTCGTGCTGGTTTATGCTAATTATCGCTACAGGTCTACGAGAAGAAGTACAAGGAAGCCAAGGAGATGAAAGTCGTTCCCGGAAAACGCAAGCGCAACACGACGTAATCCCATCCCTTTCCATTCGACTTTCCTTGCTCTTTTTCACTCGTTCTCTCCAATTGCTATCATTTGCCGGCCTTTCGTACTATTTCATTTCGGTGAGATTTTCAGTGCTATTTTTTCATTTTCATTGCTCATTGGCTCTTGTTGGCTCTCGTTCGTACTCTTTGGCAACAGGTAGGAACAATTGTCAAAGAGTGTAAATAGACCTATTCACTACCATTTTGTTGCTACGGTTTCGATTCGAAATATCATTGCTGCTCTTTGTACTCTATTGGCTTACTTTAAGGGAAATTTGAATATTGCCACTCGTTGGGATATAAGTACGAAAGAGTATCAAAGAGTGGCGACGGAGTCATTTTTCATAGGGGTTCAAGCTCAAGGTGGGATTAAGGTCCGAATCCGGCCACCTTGAGCAGCTCAAGCTCGCGTCAAGTCGCCTCAAGGTGTTACCATTTTTGGCTAACCCCTAACAATTGCGCACAACGTGCATACTGTACCTTTTTGACCGTAGGCTCGCGGGTAGCGTGGGATTTTATTTTACCCCATCCAGACTGTCCACCATGTGAGGCTCGAGGACCTGGATCAGAGGTGGACGCCAAGCTCACGATGTTCAGTTCATATGATTAGCTTAGGGACACCGGCTCGGACATTACTTATATATTTTCACTCCTTGTTGTTGTGACATCCGTTGCCCAGCCGCACGGTAAGTCATAGCAATTTGCTTCGGCAGGTATTGACTGTTCCTCATTTACCTTCAAACACGTATGATGCGTACCTGTTAAATGTTGAGCCATTGATCCCGCTACAAGTGAGCATGAATCCCTTTCTTTTGTATGGTAACCATACAGGCCTAGACGTTGAATGTGTAACGAGTTCTGTTGTCAGCTCATGCAGCCCATGAGCATTGCTCCGTCGACCCTTCCAAAACTGACGTACTGTAAGTTTTCAGGCACCATACGATTTATTACCTGGATACAGAAAAACTAGAGCTGCCATGTAGATGTTGCAAGATTATGAACATTAGATATGACAGGTTCTTGGGCCACTAGGGCGCAGCCGAACACTTGTAGAAACTTTCCCATAATTTACATGGCTTTCTCAACAATTTACCGGCTGTCCACCATCTCAAGCTCGCATAGGTCCTGCCAGGGTGAATAGTCCACCCCTCGTAAGCTCGGCTCGCCGGTCCTGGTGGACAGGGGACGAGCCTACGGTCGAAAAGGTACAGTAATCAAGCATCTTGAGACATGAAATTCGAGGGATAACTACGAACAAAAGCTTCACATTGCAATGTATTTTATATATCAAACTAATTTTCTCGTATATTTTTGTAAAGTTTCAAGAATTTAAAACTAATTTATAACATGCTACTAATTTAATTTATAAGTAATTTGAGTCCGAAACATTAATATCTGATTGGTCATCATCCGACAGTGGGTGCAGAGTCGAAGATGCATTGAGCTGTGTTGAAGGCCCAATGCTCGTGTTGCAAGCGTAGCCGTTATAAGCACAAGAAGGGCCAAAATTTACAGGTGATCTATATGAGTTTGTGCTGTATTTGCTGTTGAAACCAGCTTTGCGCTGATTCCGCAATGAGAACTTGAGAATTTGAAGTTTCTCCCCATAGTGATTGGATCCAGGTTGTTCCGGGTGTCAGTAGCAGTGGCCTTGCTTGATGAGAAGACACATCAGGAACTGTCAAAATCCGGCTGTTGACAGGCTGTTTCCCACCCTCATCAGGTTGGGCAGGAGAGTTTGACAGCTAACCTTTTTTTACACCATGACAGGATCGGTTATTGTTGCCGACATCAGACGTTGGTCCATTAACATGGGTTGGCGCTGGATTGTCGATTTCTATGCTGTAGCCCATTGGGACATGTAGCATCATTTGGCCGGATTGACATTATTGAGCATATTCCTCCCCGGCTCTAATGAATGAAGTACCTTACATTCAATTCCCAACACATACAACCAACAAATCTTATGTATTAATACCATTACATTCGAGATGTACTACATAGTCCTCGAACATTGCCACGTCAATGTATCTATTTAAGCAGTACTCATGAGCATCCAAGGGTGAACTGCAAAGCCAAGCATGCGGCACGCGACCCGCACCAAAGCAGGGAATAAGATGGCATGGATGCACAATGCTGGAGAGACAGATAACTTCGCCATGAGGAAGGTTGTTGCGGGTGGACATGGACACCTTGAACATGCTTGAATTTGGCTCGACCACATTGATGTTTAACTTGTAATACCAATGGACATACACCAATGGTTCTCTGATGTTGCCATGGTGGGGAGGAAGGTTGAATATTATGTGAAGCTCAGTGATGCATAATCCTGTATCAAGTATTTACAAATAAAGCAGCTGTCCGGAGAATTGAGATAGTAATTGCCACTCACCAGCAAATCCGCCTAGCTCTTGATAAGCTACACTATCCACCACAACGAGCACATTGTCCCATGGAGCAGCAACCATACCCTTACGTCCACCAAGCTCCTTGGATGGCATTGTGTGGACCCGGACATGGAGCTTTTTGACGTTGATGAACAGTTGAGCCTTCATGTGGACCACAGCGCTACTGAAAACATTGTAGGTGTTGATGTCACTTGGCTCGAAGTTTGGCCATAGTGCGCTGTTCATTCTGAGAAAGCTAGTCATGGCAGCAGTGAAATGGTGGGTCCCGTGGCGATCAAGTAAAATTGGGGCCAGCATGTTGGGGAATGGAGAAGTCTTGGCAACTGTGGGGTGTTGAGGACTGGAGATGCCCGCACCCGGCAACAGGGCAGGTAAAGTGGTCAAGGGAGAGTGGGTAGAGTACGTGTTCCCCTACGATGATGAGTTTGAGGGGAAAGTTGCAGGCACTTGCGTGGGCGGCTGTTATGAGGAGATTGTGTGAGGCCAAGTTTGGACTGTGTATACACACCTGTGCTCACATGTTCCGCTTCACCTCCCATTTCACCACCCTTCGCCCTCAGGCTCTCCTCCCTTGGCTCTCTGAGTCAGCTCTCCCTTCGCAGTTTGTCGGCCACTTCCTCATGTACCTCTGTTGGTGCGCCCATGTGAATTTTGAGCTGCCAGTCCAAATACTGGTCCCACCATGCTACCACCTCATGTTGCTGTAGCCACATGGCCATTTGTGAGATAAAGTCCTTCCTGTTCAATGCACAGTAAGCATGTTTTGCGAAGTCAATGTGAAGTTGCTCTGTGTTCTCAGTGTTCAGACCGTCAAGAGAGCCCAGGAACAGGATACAGTCAATGTAATGAAGAAGTGCATGGAGCTTGGTGAGATTGAAGTAATCCCACTGTGTTGAGAAAGCATCCTTCATATTGTGGAAGGTCTTCAGCACCTCCATCCGGGTGAGCATCTCTGTTGTTTGTGAATGATACTGAGTGAGGAAGATGAAGTCAATTAGTGCATGCGCTGAAATGAGAACATCCAAATTGACGGCACCAGCCAGAGCGGCCACAAGCACTTGCTGAACCTCCTTGTGCTCTCCCCCAGTCCACTGTTTGATGTTCAAGATGCCGTCCGTGAAGTGTTGCAGCCCTGCATACGCTGGCATGGCATGCAAGCAGTCATCAAGATTGGCTCCCAGATTGATAAGAGCCTGGCACCATTTGAGTAAGTGATCTTTGAATACACCTTGATGCAGCTGATGGAGAATGTCCGAGGAGATGCAGCGGAAGATGTTGGTGTGAGGGAGATCTGCCCAGAATGGTGTGAAAACTTCTTTGAGCCCATCAGCAACAAACTTGTCAGGGTACTCCCCCTCATTCTGTAGATTCAAGGTGCATAAGGTGTCAGCTTGACATCAACTTGCTGACTCTGTGTACTTTCCCCTCTTGTTTCAGGGAACAACACATCTTGAGCACTGGTTCTGGGTGCAACATGCAACTAGGCATTGCTTGGGGTGATTGGGGAGATAAACAGCCAGGAGGAGATGAACGTGCTGGTACCAGCCATCAGAACATAGGACATCCACTCCATCTCAGCTGGCCTTAACCAGTGGGGCAGCTTCATGCAGAAGTGAAAGAGCCGGTACGAGCGACAGGGTTGTTTTTGAACAACTTCAGTTTTGATGTTGGTAGGTACGTGATAACAACTGCAGCATGTTGTGATGGCTGATGTTGGACATCTTTGGATATGTTCCCTAATGTGAGATAAACTGGGTATGCTTGCTTGTTGCCGCAAAAAGTCAACAACTGAGTTTTATCTGTTGACAGAATTAACACTCCAACGGTGGCCCCTGGCGCGATTCTGTCCTAGACAGTGGTCAAATGCAAGGTCTACTATACATGTATGCAGAATTAACATGCTCACCTGCGCTTGCCACCACCAATCTCCTGTCCACATTTCATCAACATGCCGCTTCTCGCCCATCTTGTCATCATATACGCATTCAGGTGCATAGGCCATGTGGTCATGAAACTCTGGATTGCCCATCAAGTCGCATACAGCTTCGAGAGAGTCACACATCCATAGCTCAAGTATCTCCGTTTTGTCTTCTGTCAAGGGTTCACTTGTTAATGCATGATAGTTACAACTGCACTGCAATCACGGTAATACACACCTCTGTCTTTGTCACCATCTGCCTCAGAGCCTGACTCATTGTCATCATTGTCTCCTTCCTCATCATTGGATGCTCCATCTGTTTGCCTGACCTCTCCCTTTGCATTCACCTCAACATTGAAGCAGTCCCAGACTGGCCGTGTGGGGAGCTTGTTGAATCTGTCCTTCAGGTTTTCCATGTTGATGAAGCTGGGCTTCATCCAATTTTGAGTCTAGTATGGTAACACCAGTCTTTGAGTAAGCTCATGGCTAGCTGTATGAAATAGAAGGCTTACAATATCCATCTTCAACAGACGATCAACAGCTGACTGGCTGCAGTTCTTGAAGAGCCACTGAGCAAGTTTCCATTCTTCATGGTCACTGAATGGCCTGTACATGCTCGAGCTTGCTGTGAGTTGCTCTTGCTTGAGTTTCTCATAAGACGTCTCACCCCTTGCTGTAGGTTGACCAGCCGTCTCATCCGGATAGTGCTCTACATATCCTTGCTTGGGGTGTTGGGTTGCCAGGGTTTCATTGGTTGTGTTTAGTGAAGCTGACAGGGTGGGTGGTGCTGGCTCGGTACCCCAAGATGTAGGTGAGCCTCTTTCATTGTCTACATCCATGCGGTCAACAAGCTCATTGATGTTGGCTATTTCTTGGGCTGTTTTGTTGATGACATACTCCTGTTCTGTGGCCTGGCATTGTTGGTGCCGCCGCCTGTGATCACCCTTGGTGCACCGCTTCTCCAGTGTTGCCAGCCATGCTGCTGCACATTTTGGTGTTGTTGAGCGATGACGCTTGAGGTCAGCCTTGTTCTTAAAGGTTTTCACACACTGTGTGCAAGTATTCTGGGTATATGCTGCAGGGCCCCAGGTTGAGTATGTGCTGATGGTCGACTTAGGCATGATGGTAAAGGAGTCAATCCACGTGGCACCATTATCAGTCAGTCAGTAATCTCTCTTTATCCGCATCTTACTCTATATTACTCATCTCACTGCTGTCTTTAGCATCCGTGCTTGTGACATGTCACAGTCATATTTTGCACTGCATTGTCTCTCTCCCCTTTACCACTACCTATGACGCAATGTGTCTTTGTTGAATGGCATTGTTTATTTGTACTACCTTTGCCCCAGGGTATATATACTGGAAGGGATGGTGCCATGTCCTCTCCTATATAAGCTGAGTGTCCATCATCATCTCTTCTCAACTCACTCCCTGCTCATAAGCCTCAAAACCTCTCATACCACCACTTATTTCTACTATGTCTAAAACCTCAGCCGGTACTACCCAATCCCTGCCACCTTGCAAGCATAATGAGTCATCCAGACTCAAGGCTGCCAACAGTAAGGGTCCTGACACATTTAGCAACTTCATTGCTCACACTTTATGTAGAGAATGATTGTACAGATCATCAAGTTTGTGCGCAGGATCAGCAATGCCTCAAGGCTACACGCGAAGATTGTCACTGTCGCAAGGACCAAGCCAAGCAGGCCGCCCGCAGAACAGTTCAATGTGCTCAAAACTGTCAACAGGCCTTCCCTAGGACATCTCAGTGTATGTTGGAGCATATACCCTTGTCACCCCCAACAGCTGCATCAACAGTGCCAGCCCTGTCATTGACCGTGCAGTAAGTGATTATCTATATCCATTATCAGTATGCTTGCTGATATTATCCAATGCCCGTATAGTTCACGGCTTCCCAGGTTGCAACATTGCCTGGAAACAGTCAGGTGGTAAACCCATTGCCCCCAGTTTGCCCCCTGGTTCCTTGGGATGCAATTGTGCCTCTGCTGTCCACCCGCCCTTCTACAGGCAAGAGGCCTCTTGAGGTTAGCACGGGCTCTGACACGGGTTCTGTCCCTGCATCAACCAAACACGCGCATGCAGATGACAGTGAATCTGCCACTGTTGACAAGCTCGACGTCAACCTTGACCTTGAGGCCGAGGACCTTGATGCCCCCGAGAAGGACATTCCTACTGGCACTCAGGAGCTCAACAATGTCGAGGACACAGATGAAGGTGAGCAGGGCAACAACAACATCGACAATGACAAAGAGCCCAAAGAGTCTGAAGAGCCTGAAGAGCATCAGCCCCAGGTGTCTAAGGGCTTCAGCTATTGCCCCAAGACTGGTGAGTATGATCCCATCACCCGCAAAGTCCTCTTCACCGCCCAAGAGGTTATCCACAGATTCATGTGCACCGAGGCTGCATTTGCCGATGCAACATTACTTTACAAATAGGCCGATGACACCTGGGATCAGGCGTGCGATGAGCTTGGCCAGGACATTCCATTGACACCTGGTCTTTGTACTCTAGTAAGTTGCTCTGCCTGCACTTGTGCCTTTCTAATGTTTCTCTCTAAGCTTTGCGCTAATGTTGGTCACCTGCGTGGGGAGTTAAATACCAAGGCAAAACTTGTTATTGCCTCCTCGTATGGGTTTGACGTCAACGTTGAAGGAACCAATGACGTTGAGGCGGCAAACCGGCAGTTAGCAGAGTGTCTTCTCACAAAAAATGGATTCACCTATCGCGTACATTTATGTTTTTGTCTATGCCCTTTTCTAACCCTTTCATACAGGAACTTGATTCCCTTTGTGGCGCCTTTGGCGCCCTCATCATCCAGAGGGTCATCAATGAAACATTTTTTTTTCCAAAACCACTGCAATGATGTGGTCAAACAGCCTGAGTTCTTCAAGCCTTTCCCACCCATTGGCCTATGCCTGGTCATGACTGCGGTGAGTTTCCGTTTCCTGCCACGCGTGCTCTGCTTATGTTATATATAGATCTACTGTGCTATTGACGAATGGAAGACGGGTACTCAAAAGTCCCTCAAGTTCAGTGAGGCCGTGTACAAGTCCAAGCACATGGCCTTCATCAAAAATCTCAAAAATCTTGAGTTCGTGTCTCCCACCACACTCAACAACCTCCTTTCCTGCATCTATGACAGGGGCATGTACATGTTAGCACGCATAGCTTGGTTTTCCCCTACTTACTTACCTGTCATAGGTGTCATGCTGGTATTGCAGACCAAGCTGAGGAGCCACTTGTCATGGCTCCTGATGTACTGGCGGTGGCTGTTGCGGACCTGACGAACTTTTAGATTTTGCTATATGTTTCTATTTGATTTTATTCACTATAAAACAATGTTTTCCCTACAAATTTGTGATCATGTAATCCTATCTGTCTACTTGCATTTTACTATAGAGTTGATAAGGCTAACACATGCAACAGCCGGGTGGCGGTGTGAACGTGTAAGCAAACCAATTGGTTTCAATAGTCAACTACAGGTGACTATTGTGTGTAACTATATGGCTGCCGGCATAACTCGGTACTATCTTGGCCAATGTAAAGGGGGGGGGGGGTCAACCTGGACAACAGAACAATATTGGTGCTGTTGTGTGACACTGCCACCGGTTGACACCGGCCCCTTTCCTGATGCATGCTCGCATGGGACTGAAGACACTTAGATAGGCAAAACATCCATAGCTACATGAAACAGAAGAGGGTAAGTAGTTCTGTGCACCTCGACATCACAACAACTGGAGCTAATAAGGAAGTCGTATGACCCCATGTATGCCCGCCTAGTTAGGACCCCTTTATCCTTGATCAGCACACTGCCAATAATTCTTTCACTATCTTTCATTAACTTTGCTCAGCATTTTTGGGTCGCTAAGTCCCCTCATTATTATCTCCCCGTGGGTAAGACTTTCCGTTATTGACCATTGCTAACTCATTCCCTTCTCGGCCCGCTTTCCCTTATGACCATGTCATCCCTCGCTAAGCGCTCCTGTTCCTACCCTCCCGCTTGTCGCTCCCGGACATTGGGTCCCTATATATAAATTCCAAACTCCTTCTGATCCCTTCCGCTGGCTTCCATCCCCGCTTAGCACTGCTCCTCCCATGATTCCTTTCCCACCCTTCTTGTTCTCCCCCCACTATGTCCTCCCCTCCCTCCTGCCCTCCCCTCGTTGTTGTCATCGCTGTTGACGGCAACATGGGCTGCTGTTGGTCGCCGCCGCTGCCACCTCTTGCCCTCCTACGCCATCACCACACATCCTGCAGGCCAGGTACCCCGTCAACACCCTGTCAACGCCCCTTCAGGACTCGCCAGTTTTCAAGTCTTAGCCTCCCTCCCCTCTTCCCCTTCATTATCCTCGTTGTCTGCAGCACCGGAAGCCCTTTGTGGCTTTCCCGCTGATGTCCTCCATCCTCCTCTGTTGTTTCTGAGTGCTGGGCAAGGCATACACCCCATCAATGCCCCATCAACATCCCTTCAGTGTCCCTCGGGACTCACTGGCTCAAGTCTTTTCCCTCCCCCTTCCCTTCCCTTCTGTTGTCCTCACTGCCAGTAGTTTGCGCACACCCACCAATACCATACGTTCGTGCTGCATCCGTGCGCGTACAAGTTGCACACTCCTTCAATGTCATTAGGCACCGGTGGAGAATTGGCCCCTTTCATTACCCAAACGGTCCCTTCTCCCTTGCTTATGGTCTTTCCCTCATTTTTCTATTGGCGATGACAAGACCTATTGGCGCCATCTGCTGTGATCACCAACAACAATGTTGTACACTTTGGTATCAGGTTAGTCCCCGCTCTCATATTCGAGTCCCCACAATCATATCATGTTTGATCCTCGCTTGGCACATCCACCTCCGTTGCTTATCATTGTTCATTGCCACCATCACTCAAACTCTGGAAACACCGCTCCCTGGCCTTGTCAACCATGTGCCTCCCAGCACACCCAAACCTCAAGGCGCCTTGAGGCTAAGGGTTCACAAGTGTAAGTGTCTCCCCAACCTCTCTTCACAACTAACACCCTTCACCTCCAGATGGCGAAGCGCAAGCGGCTCTCTTGCCATGTCAATGCTCAACAACTCAACTCAGATGACAAGATGGTCTCCGCGTGGTACGGCCAGCAGGAGATGTTGCAATGTCGAGACAAAGCCCAGGCCATGTATCAGTCAAATGTTGTAGGTATGTCGGCTATGTTCTTTCTGATGGTCTTCATCTTCTGATGTGTGACCCAGGCTTGTCAAATCAGTCGCTTAGCGCGCTCCGGGATCTCCGGGACGAGGATGGTATGGACATGGACACCAATGTCATGGACTACAACGACTCACACCCCAGGCTCTTTAATGAGTTGTGGGATCAGCCTGTGATGGACAACGATACCTTTGTGCACGCCGTGCACAATTATATGGACAGCCCGTAAGTGTTTGTTATGTACTATGCTATTATAATAACTCTTTCGTAGTTGGAATGGGCGTCAAGCTGTTGATACTTGCACGTGGAAGGCCCGCCTGGACAGCAAGCATCAAGATTGGGAGAGCTTCCTCCTGGCGATGGTCGCCGCCTATCTGCAGTGGAAGAACGGCATCCCCGCTTCCCACGGCCCTTCTGTCGCGCCTTCTCCCGTCTCTCCCGCTGCTCCCTCCCCTCCCATTGACCCTGCCATACCTGATCCTGCCGCTCCTTCACCCTCTCTTCCTCCACCTCATGCAACCTCGGATTCATGCAACCTCAGATCAATCACCCAAGACTGCAGACTACGGCTTCACAATCTCTGTTCTTGACCTTTTTTCCCTCTCTAAGTCCATTGTGTGCACCCGCAACGTGAACTTGATCACTCCCCTTGATGCCCTCATCAAGCAGGGGTACCTGGCAGATGCCCTGCACCAGCCATCTATGGCTGTCTCTATTCAAACCCTCGAGCACTTCCGCCTTCTTCACCTGCACAAGCCCTCATTCAGTACGGAGGCATTCACCAAAGTAGTATGCGACTCATACAGCGTACATCATATTAGTTGTTACATGTGTTCATATTGCCGCTTAGCTGGCATTGTCAGATGCCCTATGTCCATGCCTATCGCTCGCTCATTGCTGACACCTTTGACTTATATATCATGATCATTTGTAATGTCAACAAGTCTATTGCTCATAACCTTGGCCGCGACACTCCAAACTGGTGCATCCTCAATGCATGCCCGCCTTGTACGTACCAACTTAACAATGAGCCATCCCTTCCATTCAATCGGATGTATGTAATGGATGGAGGTAATTTGGCAAAATGACTAGCAACGCCAGCAGGGAGACAGCGCGGGGATACACAGGAGTTTACTGACAGCGACTACTGCCTCCCATGTGAGTATGTAGATCAATTTGCAAATGAAGTCTGGTGATGGCCTGCTACAGAGCCTGGCGACCAGGAGGATGCTGAGCCAGCCTCCCCTCCTTCTCAAGACTCTGGCATCGACGAGACCAACACGGGCAATTGTAGCAAGAACTGGAAGGCCGCCATGAGTGATGACAAGGAGAGAATGTGGGGTATATTCAAGGAGACGGGGATCTTTGTTGGTGCCTGTCGGCATGGTCTACTCCTATGGTATATGGATATGGTGCAGAGCAGCAAGCTGTGAGTCTCTCACTACATTGCTTGATGTGAGACTCAAAAAGTTTTTCCCCCCTCAGTGCCAAATACCCCCTCACGATTGTGGCCAAGGTTCTGGAGCTACTTGAATGCCGTTTCCTTGGTGCCTATGATATCGGTTGCACGTTTAATTCGACAATCGACTCAAGCAGTCTCGGCAAACGGTTCACGGAGATGGAGTGTCAGATGTTTGTAGATGCATTCCATGGGTACGCACACAATTACAAGTGCCAGGTTAACAATCACCCTCTCAGGACAACCAGTGCAGGTTTGGAGGACTTCGAGATGATCGAACAAATATTCAGCGCATGCAACACCTTAGCCACAGTAATACGCTACGTGAGTCAGTACCGCCGGCACATGTTCCTTGAGCTATTTTTCCAGCAGTGGGACAAGGAGAAGTACCAGACCCTCAGTACTATGCTTCTTAACAACTACAAACAAACACTCGCCATTATTGATACTGAGTCCCCGAAGCTCGAGGAAACGAAGGCACAGCTCAACATCGAGGACAGCAACTCCGAGACCTGGCAAGCAGAGGAGCTTGCCTACTTTGAGACACTTGGCAAGGAGCCCGTGTACAATGTCTATGCTGTCACGTATGCTGAGGTGCTCAAGGACATGCAGCGGCTCGAGTAAGGTCATTTCCCTTTGTTTGTGAGAGCCCCTATACTGATACCACTTCTTTGATTAGGTCCAAATATGCAAACACCTTCATCGCGTTCATTGACACCATCCCGGGGGGCTACACGGCTGCCGACGTGCAAGGTGTCAACATGTACGAGGCAAGTGCAGGTGCGACCAAGGTGCTCAAGTCGCAGAGGAGCTACGTGTGAGAGCGTCTCACTGCTGTCACCCAAGACATCGTCATATTTGAGCAGAAGAAGGGGCTGGCTCATCGGTGGGAGCTGTCATCCCCCGAGTACAAACATGCCAATGAGTCGCTCACCACGCGGATGTTCCATTGGGCCCTTGATGAGTTGCAACGTCTTGTCATTCAATGTCTATTTGAGCTTTAGAAACTCAACATCTCACAAACCGGAGAGCCATCAATTAATGTATTTTATTCTACCAGTTCACAAGGTCAACTATCAGCCTACAAGCTCCACGTACAGATCACAAAGTCCCTCCAAACTCACTCTCAGGCCATCAGGAACGCAATCAATCGCTACAACAATGCTGCAGCGGCCATGGATCCCCCCGGACCATCTCTCGAATGGTCAAAGGTGTCGCATTACAGCTTCCTCGACGAGTTCAACCTACTGTGTAACACCCGGCAACACATCATGTCAAAGCCTTGGTCGAAGCCCGTCCAGTGCAAGGCGATGCAGAGCACATTCCGTGTTCAGCGAGCTCAGGAGGAGATTCAACGTTGTAACATCGAGGTTTGTCACCTTCAATCTGTGATTGTCAATGAGGAGAGGCACTTTGCCTCTGTTCTTGCGAGGCTACGTGCCAATGGCAGCCCTCTGTTGGTTGTAACAGAGAAGTTTTGTATCAGGCAATTGCATGTCAACTGCCGCCTTGTAGAACACATTAAGCAAATACACGGTCTTGAAGGCTTCTCAGGCGAGACAACACCAGGCATTCGCGATGGGGCAACGGATGCTCCTGAGGATAGTACTGAGATTGTGTCATTTACATTTCTTTCTGATAGTGATTATATCAGACATGAGGAGAACAAAACTGATGAAGATCCCATGTCATGCGATATAGCAGTTCTTGTAGATTACATGGCAGAACTACCTCTTTCTAATTCATAGTGCAGCATAATGTATTTTTCTTCTCTCATAGTCTGAATACACTAAGTCTAACAATATATTAAGACAACAAAAAAGAAGGGCGTGTATATAGGTGGGAAGGGAAGCAATGATGGACTTCAAGAAGCATTGGACATGTGCAAGCGCGGAAGTCGCACCTGTGATGTACTGATTGCGCATCATGCATCATGTTCTGCCATGCCGTGTCAATCGACTTGCCTCCCTCCCTCCCTTCCATTTCTCGTCTCCTTGCTCACCATGATGACAACCTCAGAAAGGTACTATGTTGCCATTGGTTTACGTGCAGACACCAGAGTCTACAATAGCTAGTGAGTTGTATTTCCATCATTCCATTCCTCATTGACGCCTTTGCCGCACTAGCCCTCACTTCTCTAACACCTCACCTTTGTACCTCCCCATCATTGTCTTGCTTGTTCGCTTCAAGGACACCCAGAACCTTGACTCGGTATGTACCTCAATCCTTCGCAATGTTGATCTATTGGCCACCAGCTGCCTCAATGTTGCAGGTATCTTCCTGAACTCAGAGGCTGCCAGAGGTGCTCTGAAGCCCAAAGTCAAGGGATTCTACACAGCTGCTCATGGTCATCACATTGGGATTTGGCATGTCTGGTGAGTATACTCTGGCTGCTTGTGTTTTACACCCGTTCTAATTCGAGTAAGAACGACTGCAACAAGGAGGTCAACAAGTACCCAAGTGCTCATCACAAGAAGTTCATTCACTTCAACGAGGCCATGGAATGGCTTATCACTGATGGCCATCGCTTGGGGTTTGGTACTCAGCTTTCGCTGGGTGAAGAACCCAACACTCGCAGCGCTTCTTCGCCCTTTCCACAGCCCTCGAAGAACAAGGGAAAGGGAAAGGCAACAGAAGCTTCACCACGTCCCTCCTCCGAGTTCTTCAGCCCTATTGCCATCGAGTCTGTTCATATCAGTGGTATGTGTCACCCGCTCTCCTTTGTTATTCCACTGAGTATCATAGTAGACGAATCACCTCAGCCAAAGGGCCCTCCTCCATCTTTGTCTCATTGTACCCATGGCCCTGTTCAAGTCTCCTCCACCTCTGTGCATGCCCAGCCCTCATTTTCCCACTCTCCTACTCCTCCCCACCTGATACCACCCTATCATGCTCCCAACTCAACCCGCGTTCATCACGTGTCCGTGCTTCGTGGTCCGGAGATGGCTTGGAGGATGCTGACTGCAGTCCCTGCCCACAACATGGCCCCTATCTTCCAACACATCCGCAAGCTGGACGGCATCCATCAATCCCTGACTATTCCCGCTGAATCTGATGACATGCCAATCCTGAGCTTTGGGCCCATGGCTGACATCGATCTTCACTTGCATGGATTCTCGCTCAGAGCACTGTTGCGCATTTGACATGCACTCAATGCCTGCACTTCCCCTAGCGACTTTGTTCACATCTTCGCGACTCGCGGGATGGCTGTGCTGGAAGCCTGGTTCTTCTGGGCTGTCATCCATAACAATGTAGATTTGTTTACAGGTCTTACTAATGCATACTCATCACTAACCGGTCACTTAGCAGCTTTGAATAAATTTTGTTTTTTTTCTTCAACCATTCTTCACCCTTGTCTGACTCCTTGAGCATGATAGTCCCCGCACCCCCTCCTCCTCAGCTCGGTCATTATCCGGCGAAGCAACACAACCTGAAAAACCGGCGGCCCTATCGCTGGTGTACGAAGCCAACCTTCAAGTCTACATTGGCTCAGAAGAAAGGCCTTGCCGCCCGACGCAAGAGCTTTCGCGTTCAGTACCGAGACGCATTGAGGGAATGTAGGTCAATGCTATTGGGCATGGCTAAACAGCTGCAGGAGTGTTTTGGCAAGCACAACAAAGACTACTATTACTGCAAAATCATTCAAGACTCCTGGCTTGTCCGACACGCGCGCAAGATTTCTCGCTGGAACATCTATCAGAGCGCCGAAGTCAAGTGTCTCAACTCTGGTATATTTTCACCTCCACCTCATTGTATTAACAACACCTGACGCACTCTGCAGAGCTCTTGGCTGGCCAAAAGTGAAAGACTGCCAGTGACCTTGTGGCTGGCATCTCCAAGTCCTGGAAGGCACTGACTCGTGAGGAGCAGATTGCTGTCACGGACCCGCTCATGGACACCATGCACAAGGATCGCAAAAACCGGGTGCTTGCAGCCCACAATGTTCTGCTGGCCGCTTTCCAAGACACTGACAAGACAACACAGAGTATTACCTCAGAGGTACGTACTCACGCGTGTTTTTTTCCCTTCGGCACCCACTCACTCCCGGCAGCTCCGTAAACTCCACATCCGTACTGGCGACAAAGCCTTGCTCATGGTTGTTCGCTCTAATATTGATCACTACAACAAGGCCTTTACCTTCAAAACCAATTGTGCTGTCAGCTTCATCAACTCAGCATTCAGGATGACTGTTGAAGATCTCGCAACAAGGTTTGAAGGGTATTGTATATCTGGGGTTAAAGGTGCGTTCTCTTCGTTGTTTTGCCTGCATAGCTCATTTGTCGTTGCAGGCCTCGCCCACAATCAAACCAATGCCACGCAAGCCAAGAAAAGTGAGGTAAACAAACTCATTTATAAGCGGCTCCATGAGTGCTTCTCGGCTACACTTAGACTAATTCTAATTGATGTGCTCCGTAGTTACAGCGGTGGTGCCATTCAAGCCGTCTTGGATGTACTACGTGAACTTCAATACCAATGTCGCCGAGAAGTATCATGTCATCTGCGAGAACTGGTCAGCTGGGTCTAGGTTCATCAGCCCCTCCAACATGAACACACATGAGCTCGAGGTTATTCACAGTACCTTCGCCATGGGTCTGACACGGCTCCGAAGGATGCCGGACAAGGAGTTTCTGCAATGGGCCAATTGCCAAGCGACTGCGCATCAGGGCAGTGCTGTGCCTGAGGGCTCCACATCACCCACCGCACATCCGCCCCCCGATAGCGTCAGTTTCACTAATGCCGATGAGAACACCCAACACCCAGGTATTCCCTTGTCTGCACCTGCTCTCATTGACTTGCCCACTCCCCAGTGGACTGGTGTTACACAGAATGGACAGGAGATGGTCATTGCAAAGAGGCCACGCAAACCGCAAGCCAACAAGGGCAAGCAGCATGGCCCTCAACAGAATCCGCGTAACAAGAGGTCCAAGTCTACTATTAATACACCCGCTATTGATACTCCCTCTTAAGTCCATACTTACTCTGATTCTATTGTCTAGTATTACCTTAGCCAGGCACGTCATAATATATCATACCTTAAATCTTCTAAACCTCAGAATCACACTTAGAGAACAAGATTATCAGTATCAGCAGTGGGATGAGATTCATAGTCATACTGATTATCATACAGAGTTCTACAGTACTAAAACACTAAGACATAGCGGAATGATGATGCACTAAGGGCAGATAGGGTCTGTATGATGGGAAGAACATTGCATGCAAGATAATGCCTGAGAGGAGGAGGGAATAAGCGAAGTGATGTCAACATTAACAAGTGTACATGAGGAGAAGAATGACAGAGAAAAGGCGGTGGCGACAAAGTGATGCCGAGTTACCTGTGTAAGTGATGCTGAGTTGCCCGTGTACGCAATGGGAAGAATGATGGCAAAAAAGGGGGGAGGGACAACAGCAATAAAGTGGAAACAAGGGTAACCGGAGCATGAACAGGGCCTTACCGACGGAGATGATAGTGGGAACACCTGGACGAAGACGATGAACAGCCACCTGGAGCTGGAGTGAGACCCAAGGAAAAGGCAACGGGGATGGAGAAGCCTCACCAATGATTGGGTGATAGCTGAGGATAGAATCCACATGTTGTCCAAAAGAATTGATATTACCGTGAACTGGCTGGCCGGTAACAAAGGTGGTGTTGAGGACAAATGGCTGCTGCACCTGTATACAAGTAGCAAAGGGAATAGTAAACAGTCTGTGAACGCGAGAGGATACAAACATCAGCTTGAGAACTCGTGAGGGAACACAAAGGACTGACCTCACTTTGAGGATGCATTGCCAATATAATCGCCTTGTAGACCAACTGGCAGTAGTGTCAGGATAGTGCAAGTCTGACCAGAGTAATGTATGGAACAAAAACTGGCCTGATGTGTTGTATATGTGGCAATGTAGTATAATAGTGCATGAGCAAGTGGAGTATCCCATAGACCCAGACCAGACTGTCCAGATATGCCACAGATGTGCTTGTAGGGTGGTACACTTGCACAAAACTGGATGGACTAATAAAAAACCAGCCTGATATGCTACAAATCTGCATGTAGTACAATATAATAGTGTAGAGTCTGCTTCCAGAATAGCTGGAAGTTTATCCATGAATTAGTAGACTGTTTTATGCCATTGCTGAAATAACTGGCCTCATGACACAACTAAACTGTTGTTGCTGGTATATCTGGACCATTGCTGCCAAGATAACCGGCCTGCTTTTACTGGCATAACTAGTGTAATGCTTCCATAAAAGCTGCAGCACTTCCATTGATTCAACCAGCCTATTGCTACTGAAATAACCAGAGTATTGTGACTGTAATGACCAGATCATTGCAGCTAAGACAACCGGAGCATTACAGCTGCAATAACTACTAGGGCTAAAACAACTGGGGCATTATAGCTAGGATAGCCAGAAGATTATAGTTGCAATGGCTGGAGCATTGTAGCTGAAATAAATGGAGCACCATAGCTATACCAGTGAGTACTTGCCCATCCTCATTGTCCCTCCTCCATCCAACTATCCTAAGAAACAAACACAAATCAAGTGTCAGCTCCAGCTGGTCTCAGGGATCGCAATGAATGGACCACGCCCATGTTCCACTAGTTGAAGGGGTGAGTCTTGATCTCCTCTGCCATTGCCATGTCCACTAACGAGCTTCTTCCACCACAGATCAACCTCAAATGCAAGTGACCACGTGGAAACAGCGATGAGCAGGCCGGAAAGGCGCAAAAGGTATGTCATCACCAACTTTTCTCCAGTATGCTCACCTTATGGGCAGTTTGTAGACAGCAGAGGGGTCAGTGTTGGTGGACGGAAGGTCCAAAAGGACCAGGAAACCGACAGAGCGGGCAGCAGGTGGTGAGGGTGGTGGTGAGGGCAGCAGGAAGGCAAGTGGTGGGCAGGGCAGCAAGGGTGGGAAGGGAAGCAAGGGCGGGAAGGGTGTGAAAGTGACCGGCAGCGGGAGCGCCAAGGGCAAGAAGAAGGCAGAAAACCCGGCGAGAGTACACGGACTGCCGCCTCCGCCCATGCCCAGTGATGAGGACCCCCCGGAGACCATCTTCGTCAGTGACAACCAGTGCACCCTGTGCAGGGGCCACAATCAGGCATGGTGCATCCAGATCAACAACCAGGCCTGTACCTGGTGCAAGGCAAAGAAGACCAAGTGAAATCTCCCCAAGTCCCACAACGCAATGCAACCCCAGTACAATGCCACCGCCACTCGCTACGGCCTCGGGTCTGCACCATCCAAGAAGACAATGCTGGCGAAAACTTCCGACACCGGTACCTCAGCCAGTGCGGTGGCTGGCCCCTCAGGAAGCATGACGTACTGTCTGCCCTGTGAACCTCCCAAGGAGTGCGAGTACATCAAACTCAGTAAGCTGGATTTGTTCACTGCTCCTCTTTCCCATCTTACCTTTGTCAGATTCTGATGACGAGGAGTGGGTTCCAAAAGACGCTCTGGTACCAGACACTGGAGACAAGGACACAGATGGAGAGACAGACCAGGAGGAGGAAGATAAAGAGCAGCCAGAGGAGGCCAACACCATTGACCAAGCGCAACTTGATGCAGCTGAAGCAGCAGAGGTCGATGCCCAGCTGGAGGCATTGACCAGACTGACTGACGCCCTTGCTCGCTGCTAGGTATTTTCCCCCTCAATCTTCCAGAGCTGTAGTTAAATGATCTATGTTACCATCCTACATGTCAAATAGAGCACTAGTAGTCTACTAATCAATTGTGAAGTGTTTCATATAACTAACAGTGTGTGATAAAGTTTAATCTGTGTCCTGTTGCATATGTTTTTAAGTGAGCTAGCACTTTTCCAGCCAGCATGACCACAAGTCCTTCAATACAAGTTCCTTGCATACAGCCAGTTCCGGTCAAGCAAGCTGTTGCTATTGTTCATCATGGCAGTAATGACACTGTAATATCTTGCTATTCACCACTACAGTATTGATGTTACATACATCTGTTTCTGATACCTTCCGGAGTCAACATTAGCTGTGCCTACTGTGAGAGATTGAGATTTTGGCTGGCCTCAGGCCGGTATGTGAGATGAGTAGCTGTGTACAGGAGGGCTCTTTGTGGGAACTCAGCATCCTAATGATACATATTCCATACTGAAGATCATGTCAGGTCTAAGTGCTTCCGGAGGCACCTCAGTACCTCATATGCATGCAATAGCCATGTTAACTGTAAAGCCTTGGTCATCTACATTACTATCTCATATACTAATAAGCCATGACCATTAGATACATGTACTCAATACCGGCTGGTTGCTCTAACATACCTGGCTCCAGATATGATGGGTATCATCCTGACCCAGTATATGCTGGCTCTTAACATGCACCAACCACACCAATATATGCATGCAGCTTATTTGAGCTTTCATTGGGTTGACTCACTACTGAGCTAAGGCTAAATGGGCTATCCAGAAGAATTCACCTCAGGTCCCATCACTCATCTGACACTGGCTACATAGGCCTGGCCAGAGCCTCCTTCCCTACTGCTATGGTCATCTTGACATGGGCCGGGCATCCCTCTTGGGAGTCCCTCCCCTGCCATCCACAGGCCGCTCTGAGATCCACCAAATGCCCAATCCAGAACCTTCTCCTGGAGTCATAGGGCTGCCCTGACATACACTGCATGCACCACCTGGAGCGCTTCTCCTGTGGTACCATGGCTGTCCTGGAATGCTGACATGGAGTAGATACCCTAGCCAGAATGGTATGCCTACTACCCTAGGGCTGTCCTGACACCTACTGGATACCCTAGCCGGAATGGTATGCCTACTGGCCTAGGCCCATCTCAACACCTACTGGGTACCCTATCCGGAATGGTATGCTTACTGGCGTAGGGCTGTCCTGACACCTACTGGATACCTTGGCCAGTGGGTGTTACCTCCTGGGGCATGGCAGCCTCGACCTGGTGGTGGTTGGCATACCCATGCACACACCAGGGGCAGGTCCCCCCAGACCAGAGTGGCGGCAGCCTCAACACAGACCTGTATGAGGTCACCTACCAGGCTACCCAGCTGGTAGGTAAAGCGGCTGGCAGGACTAGGTTGGTCGACCGCCGGTCACCACTGCCCCCGACATCCTCGGGTGTTTGACCCATCTGCTGACCGGACATACTTGGAGACCTGGCCTGCATATCCTGAAGCAGCCTGATACATACACAGATTGCATTGCCCTGTATAGACCAGAATAGAGCTGTACCAAAACCTTAACATTGATGTAGTCTCAGAGCAAATAAACAATGAGCCAATAAAAAAGCACAGACCAGAACCAGCTGAGATTGCCAAGAAAAATAGAGAACCTGTCTGGTTTACATATCCAGATTCACAAAACAGATCAAAACAGAGCATACAAGGAAAAAGCATGTTAAGATTATTCAGACAGTGAGCCTGGGCATGTGAGATCTCTTGGAGAGGATAAAAATGCTGTTTGCATCCTTGGGAAGCAATTGTTTCCAGTAGAGCTCTCATTGCTAGATACAGAATTCTCAATACAAACACAACAATGAAATTGAATGTACTTTTTTCTCCTCCTACAAGAGCTTGTTCCAGACTACTTTGATCATGGGCTTTGTGAGGTTCTGGTCCTTCTCTACAAGAGGAACTGGCAATATAACCTGCACCAATGAGTTAATAGTAGAATAGAACTCAAAAATGCACTCACCACCCGCTCATAGCCTTGGATTTGTTGATTGGCTTTGTCTGGCAGCCCCACTTCTTGGCAGTCAGCTCTGAATCAACAGTAACAGCTTTCAACCAGATTACAGCAGCTGCAGGCAGGCTGGAGTTGGTTGCAAGAGGTACAGCACTGTTGATACTTGGAGGAATTCACCAGAAGCAGCTGTGAATGGTGTTTTGATAGATGTAGTAGGCTAAGTTGTTTTGGGTTGAACCCTAGGTATAGTTGTATTGAAGCCAATTGCGTGGTTGAGCTGACCTGCATTGCAGAGTCACCTTCATCGTCCTCATTGTTGCTATCCATATATAAATAAATAAGATACAATAATCAGTATATAAGAGCAACTTACTCTATACAAATATTCATGTGCTCTATACATGCAGGAGCTTTCATGTTTGTGGGTACTTCAGTGGAGCCAAGGCTTGAAAATTTCATGGGAGCTTCAGCTGAAGCATGCATTGGAGTGTTTGGAGGAGCTTCAGCAGGAGCAGATGTTGAGTTGCTTGCAGGCCTGGGAATAGCTGCCTGAGTTATAACTGGTGGAGAGGGAGGTAGAGTGGACTAGCAGTTGCATGATGTAAGTACATTACAATTGGAAGATGGGCTACTCACCTGAGTTAAGCCTCCAGATGGTTTGCCTTTGTGGTAATCAAGGATGTGGTACTTGTACCACTGCAAATAGTTGTCACTTGCAAACTTTTTGATCTTCCAGATGTTTGGGGCAATGCAAAGGCAGGAGGCAACATCTGCATGGTCCAGTAGAACAACTGACTGAAGTTGACCTTGAGTTTCAACCATGTGGTAGGGAGACCACCAACCTCACAAAATGCATGGAATGTGGTCAACATGTTTGTGCATTGTGTCCAGCTGACATTTGTGACAATGCTGATGAGCTCTGGATTGTTGGTGTTGATGTTTGCATTGGTGGTGGTCTTGTTATTGTGGGTACTGTTGCCATTGTTGCTACTTGTATCATCTTTGTCAGCAATATTGTTTGCATTGGCAGTTGAGTTCTTTTGTGCTTTGCACTCCTTCTCTTATCTAGACTTTGTCCACATTTTTTGGCTCATGGAAATGGACAAAGCTGGCCATATTGGGATACAGTGAAGTCTCAAAAAGCAGGCCAAATACCAGATCCAGTTCTACCTTGACATACTTGTTGGTGTCAGCTGTAGGCTTAGGGAGTGTTGTACCAGCTCTAAGCATGGCACTATATGATAATGTATATGTCAGCAAAAACACACAAGTGCAAAAAATTTATGTCAAAGTCCTGATTTTCTCTTCAAGACCCTTAAGCTCAGAGACCAAACAAAAAGCTTCTGTGCAAGGAAACCTGGTAGCTTTTGGTGTCTGTAATATTGTGTGATCAGAACTCTAAAAACATGCTGTCTAGCCATGTTGCGTGCAGAGACAAATGGAGATGAATGCTGGTAAGCACATGACTCACTGAGATCATGCTGTTTTCAAAGCCCTCAGTGAAAGTAGCACTTAAACCATTGCCTCTGAGACTGTTGAATGGTGAATGTGATGATGAGCTTGCTACAAAGATCAACTCTCAATGTTTGTATCTTATTGTAACTGATGTATCTCATCTAGAACAGGAAACTAAGTTTAATTTCTGCTCTTACATCTTGCCAGCTGCTTGATCTCTGAAACCAAACACTGCTCTGATGCATATATCACCATGCAGTACCAAGACAATAACAGCACCTACAAGCTAGGCAATGCATTCAAAAGCTCCCCTAACAAACAGGAGGCACTTATCATGGCAACACCCCTGCCCTCTTTCCCTGCATCATATAAATCTGACATTCACAATTTTCTATTGGAGATAACCATATGGAACAGCCATATATCCAATGTAGGAGACACAGTAGATATCATGGTATGTGGTCCAAAAAAGTCTTTGGGTCCTTTTTCATTGTGTCCACAGTAATCAAAATGCCTTTTTCAATAGACTGACACTGCAGCATTTGTGAAAATAGTAATATTTCTCATATTGCCAAACAGGTTGTTTTCTGTGATACTCACCTGACTGTCACTGGAAAGGACATTTAATAAGTGGTCCAAGCCTGTTAAGCACAAGACACTTCTAAAGTGTTTTACTTGTGTTAAATAGGGATATTTTGCTAGGCCTGGGTCCCATGGGCATTTGGTGGCAGAATGTTTCTATTTTAGTGTATATCTAAACAAGGTCCCTGATGCCATGATTCTGATTAGATTAAGTTAGTGATAATACAGATTAAGGCAGATAATGCTATTGGCACCCTCCCCAACAGCTGAGATCCCCATTCTTCCACCCCCAACATTTTCAATGACAATGTTTGAGCGCTCCCCACCCTTTCTGCTCAGCTGAATTCAGCTTGGTTGTTCTGTCCTGCAGTCCCCACCCCTTTCCTCTCCTGCCCCTGTTCAAGTCCCTCCCTGCCATCTCCTGCCATCTCCCACCTCCCCGGCATTGCATGTAATATAAACATAATGTATAAAGATGTGATATCATAAGCTTTGTAAGGTATAAGCCATATAGACTCACAATTCCAGAGGTTTCCAGTATTCATTTGGGATAATGTCTGGACCTGGAAGCCAGTCACATGATTGATCTGGAAATTTTTCTCTAAGTCTGTCAGACCATAATTTGATTGCTTATAATTTACTGGATGATGGCTTCTATTCAAAGTTCATTAACATTTATAAGGATTAGACTACTATTGCTTCTATCATAATGAGCTGAGAGTATTTATAACATGTATAGACTATTTGTATGTACTATTAAAAAGGTCACTAAAGTAGCCACTAGCTGTTAAAGGTCTGGTCTGAGGCAATGTTGATAACATGTCCAGGTCAAGGGCCAGGCTATTAACAAGCCAGTCAGATGGACTGACTTGGTGTGGTGATTGCCTTTTTTAGAACAAGTTCCCAAGTCAGTTGTCTGACCAGCTGGCAACACTTGCCCCTGCCAAAAATTTTCCACCTGCCAAATGACAGCTATTTAAGGGGAACTTAGTAGATGGGAAAATCTTGGCAAGGCAAGTGTTGCCAGTCAGTCAGATCAATGACCTTGGAACTTGGTCCAAAAAAGGCAATTCCAGCACCACATCATCCTGTCTGACCAACTGGTTAGGAGTCTGGTCTAGGCCTGGCTTGGAGAAACGGTATACATGGTGTCAAGTTGTAACTGTGAGATATAGTTCATATGTGGAGTTGTGAACAATTGATACAGGTACATGGAAAATGCTGATGATGATGGTGAAGATATAGGGGACAGGGGCACCATGAAGAGTGTAGACTGTGCTGGAAAAGGTGACAACAATAGCATGCCCAGTGCAAAGTGTGGAAAGGGTGCAACATGCAGAGAGGATGCAACATGCGGAGAGGACATGGGCGCATGTGATAGCAACAACATTGGAGAAGGGTATGGGGGGAGCAGGGCTGGCATCAAGAACAAGGCTGGTGAAGGTGAAGGTGAAGAAGAGGACAGGGGATGGGAACAGAAACAGAAACAGAAATGGAGATAGCTGCCTTGTGGGATGAGCTGTCTTCATCCATTTTTCCCTGTTCATAGTCTCACCACCAGACAGCCACTTCACAAGGATGTGCTAATTCTCCACCTTCTTGAGTTTATCCCACTTTCCCGAATCAAGCTTACACCAGTAGCACTCACCCTCCCTGAGGGTCGCCTCTATTTTGCTCAGGAGGGTGCAGGTGGTAATGTTGTTGGGGTTCTTGATGATGCCCCCTGGGAATCTGTGGAGCTCAACCCCATAGTTGAGGACCAACTTGTTGTAGTTAGCCCACTCTATCCAGCACGGGAATTTCTCCAGCAGGATACCACGGGTTTGTAGTATTTTTCCTATTTTATATAGTTAGCTGCAAGCAAGGGAATAGAAACTTGGGTACTCACAATAGCCATTCAAAACCATCTCCTGCCTTCCTGTGCATAGTACTCTATTTCTCCTTTGTGATCCGCAATACTCCAGCCAAGCCACCTGTGACATAGACATCCAGATGCATAGTCATCTCCTCCAGGGTCACCTTGAATAGACAAAAGCACACATCTTTGAGGTGCAGTGATATAAAGTTCCAAGGCCTGTATTAATATGTTACCTTGTCATGAGTGACCAGGTATAGCATGTTGCAGCTTGTGTTTTGGGTGATTTCAGCAACCTACTAAATATATTAGCAAGTATCATAAGTACAAGAAGTAAGGCTGCGTACCAATGGATCAATTTATTTCTTGAACATGGTGTCAACAGTGTTACTGACATGTGGCTGGACTCACATGAATTGCTTGCTTGGCTTGTTCATTTGGCTGGCTTTGCGGCGAGCCTCTTCTTGGCTTTGTTGAGAGCATTTGGTCCAAGCCACCTTCTCCTCCAGCAACAGAGTGTGCCAGGCTGTCACCATCTCGTGCAAGATGTCCATCATGGAACTGGAGTCAGAAAAAATACCCTTGCATGAATCTTAGTGGACACAAGGACTTAGACCCAGAAATGGCTTACTACTATTGGAAACACATGTTGCATACTCATCTTTGATGAACACTGAGTATCTGTTGGCTTTGACCTTGTTGCAAGGTTCCTGTCCTACTCTCATGTACACCTGGATGGCCACCCAATCCTGAGTCCTAACAAAAGGTCAGCTATGTATAGTTGTTTCATATATAGTACATACCTGTGATGTGTATCACATATCCACCTGATGTCCAACAGAGGTCGTTGGCAAAGGTTGTGTATATCTTCCATGAGTGTTCTAAACTGCCGGATACCCTCTGGAATCTGCTTGGTTGTTCACTTAGGTCGTGTCACTTGAGTTGTAGGGTAGATCTGCTAGGAGCAACATGGCTAAGGTCAATGGAAGTGAGACAGACAAAAATTGCAAGACAGCAAAAAAAGTGCGTATTACATTACATAATACAAGTGAGTGTGATGTTACAACATATAAACAAAATTAGGTGTCCCTGCAACTGCAGTCAAAGCATAATTACAAACTGTGAATGAAGAGACTTACAACACCTTTGTTCTCTACACGCCAGTCCTCTGGTATTGTTCCCATCCCCTCCATGTTGCTACAGTCAACTACTTACCCTACACTTCCCCTCCAAGTCCTTACGCTAGTGTTCCAAGACACGGTATCCCTAGCAGAGCTTAGCTTGAACATTCTGCATACTTCCAGGCAGGCACAGAATTTACAGCACCAAGCATTTGTTCATTTGGCACTTCTTTGAGGTTTGTCAGGAACAAGCACTCAAGCTTCAGCCATGTGCCAATCTTGGCAGCTGTAATGTTGAGCTGCTAACACATAGCCTCAACCTCAGGGGCATACTTGGTGATGATCTGGAGTGCCTGTTGATACTTGTTGTATTAAAAAAAACTGCCTAAAAAGGTGTTAGTGATGCAGATCAAGTGATTCAATACTTACTGAGTTTGGCATATCTGTCCTCATCCCACTGCTGGAAATGGAGATTGAGGCCCTGAATGAAATGGAACATTGACACATATCAGATGATCTACGTGGCAGAATTTGATGCGGAGAAGATGCACTTCATCTGCTTAAGGTCCAACAGTCCAACACCAGGAATGTACAAGGGATGGTACGTGAGCTGGCAAAGGCAACTGTGCACGTACCCATGACATACATTGACGCATATCTTGAGGTTCTGATTGTGCACTTTGTTGCAAAGGAGAGGGCTTGAGAATGCAGTCTTGCTGAAGGCACAGCCCATGTCCTGTCCAAGGTCAATGTTGTCACTGTACACATTGAGTAGATGGATGACTGTAGCTAGTCTGTATTTAACACTAAACAATGTTAGATTAGCAGCAACATAGAAAAATGGCCAACTCACATTTCACCACTGCAAACCATCTCACACACTTTCTGCATAAGGCTATGCCTGCATGCAAAGACAAAGATATCAGTGGTCTTGTATATGTCAAGCGTCTTCTTGGGACCATCTGGTCTGCTGACACGGAAGTCCAATGTGCATCAACCCATCTGGTTGCCATTGTCATCAAAGTTGTCCTTCTTGTAAATATCTGGATCATGTGAGCAATCCTTAACTAGGGGAGTCACTGCACACACAAACAAAAAATGATGATGAGTGAGAAAGACTAACCCTAACCCTAGATGAGGCTTGAGCTGAAGTAGATGCCTCAAGGGAAGGACCTGAGATTTAGGTTTATAAACAGAGCTAAGGAAAAATCCCAAAAGAACTTTCTTGGAGTTCTGAGTCATTGATTGCAGTCTTTATATACTACTGGGCAGCTGCACATAGACTATGTATCCAAAGGTAGAGCTCCTGCCATATTAGGAATACAAAGTACTTAGTAATACAAGCATGCCATATTGTGTGGTCCTTGCATCATATGATGTCATAGTCCAGACCCATCACATGCTTGGTCACTTGCCTGCTTACATAATAGATAAGGCCAAAGCCCAGCTATGTCAAAAACAAATGCAATAAATAATGTGTTGTTATCCAAGTTAGGGTTAGCAGGAGGCACTTTGACAGGTCAACCCAAGGGCTGCTTACAGCCACAAATTTCATCTTTGTAGACATCAACCTCTTTCCATGGGATGAAATAGTCGGGTTTAAACCTGTTTACACTAGTCTAATCAAGCCCGCAATTTTGGTGAACTGAACACACTGTCTCACGTGCCGCGCATGCAACTCTCCCTGTATGCAGACCATGTGGGCTCACTGCCGCTGCAGACCCGCTCTTGCCTGCACAGCGGGTGCACCCACTCAATGTCCTCTGCATGTCGCATTTTGGGGAACATCAGATGAAAACCTCACTAAGGCACAACTCCTATGAGCACAACATAGGAGTCCCAAATTGAACCTCAAATATCTGGTGGGCAAGACGCTGGGTTGGTGCTGCTTCATTCACCCCTGCGTCTTGCCAGGTACGTATCAATATTGGCCCCAGAGATTGGCTGCTTTGCTCACTCTGGTGTCTTGCCAGCATCTCTTTGTGCTACTTAGTTGTTCCTCCCATCGAACCTCAGCCCCATGTCTGGACAAAATAGTCTGAGCTCCTCACAAACTGCACCAGAAGAAATTGAAGCTGCGGAGTCTGCTCTCCAGGCTATCCACAGGGATCACTGACCTCTATTCTACCGGTCAGATCAAGCAAAAGTTTGATGCAGGCCAGCAACTCCTCAAAACCTCACTTCTGAGGAGGCTCAACTCCCTGCCCTTGATCGGAGGCACCTCTACAACAAATACAACAAGATCCTCGACCAACATGAGCAGTCGCATTTGGCCACTGTCAAACGAGGGAAGCAACGTGCCATCACTCCTTGAGGAGGATGAGTCACAGGCAAAGCAGTTGGAGCACTGTAGTGGAGCAGATGCTGACTGATCTTTGGGGGAGGCTAGGAGTCATGCTAGAGGAGAGGATGGCAGTTCAGCCAGAGGTGGAAGAGGTAGACATCAGCAATGAGTACAGAGGAGAGCGGCCAATGACGATAGCTCCAATGATGGAGTTGGACAAGACAGAGACGAAGAAGACAACCCTACGTCCACCTGCCATTGGCACCGACCGTTCAACCCTCACTACCTCATGCTCACGCCCAAGCAGGGGTGCACAAAAACCCTACACCTCTACGGTGTCTAGTCCTTCAAGCCCAAGCGGGTCCAATTGTCAATCATCAACACTGTGGAGGCTCCCTTCTTCCCGAGCACAGAGTGGCTCAACATCATACAGGGTGCCTCTGTTAACCTTGACATTGTCAGCGCTAGCATCAACTCAAGCGCCGTCAGCAACCAGCATGTCACGGACATTGGTAACATCCTTGAGCTCATGCTCAAGGGCTCTGACAAGCTGCAAACCATCACCCAACACAGGCCATGGATCACGGTACAGACTTACACTATCAACGCCTACAAATTTGTCTTTCCCTGGCACCTCGCAGAGCTCACCAACTACCTGCGGCACATTAGCCAGCTATTCAACTCTACTATCTCTGCTGCTCACCCGCAAGTGGCTGCCTACGACTGCACTGTCTGAAACCTTGTCGGACAGCAGCACCACCTTGCTCTCAATGACTATGCTGCCTTTGAGTCAGTCCGCATCTTGCATCTCAGCACAATTGGGGCAGCTGCTGCTGCCGTCTCTCTTGGGCAGCCCAATGTTGGTGGATCCAGTGGGTCAAGTCACAAGTGATGGGCCGACGAGGTGTGCCACCACTATAACCATAATGCCTGTTCAAGCAAGTTGAGCTGTGTCTTCTGACATGCCTGCAGCCGCTGTGGGGGTTCTCGCCCCCAAACTGAGTGTGGGAAGTCCAAGTAGTGAAGGATGGATTGTCAATGACGCTGGCCCCATAGCACGACAGGGTCTCATCTGCTCACGCACATCTGATTACACTAGTAAAACAGCTCTATGGACTGAGACAGCTGAGCCCCTTCCGTGTCTTCCTCTCTCTATGTTACAAGATTCGGTTGTTACTTCTGCAATACAGCAAAACCCAGATCTCTTCTGCATTATCTTGCCAATAGACGTTGATTGCTTCGAATTTCTTTTGGCTGCACATCCAAACCAATCCTTTGTCTCCTCTGCATGCAGTGGTTTCTGTACTGGAATTTGGCCATTTGCTCATAGTCCACCTGACTCTTACCCTTCTACTTGGGACCAGTCGCAGCGGGCAGTGATTGACGAGCCAGAGAGGGAGTTTCTGCAAATGCAGATTGACAAGGAAATCCAACTAGGAAGATTCTCCCCTTTGTTCGGGGCCAACTTGCTGCCAGGCATGTACAGCTCACCCATTCATGTTGTGCCGAAGCCCAACTCCAACAAATTTTGCCTGGTTATGGACCAGAGCAAGGATCTGTATGCTCCAAACTCCCACATCGACCATGCCAACATTGCAGGGATGATGCTCAGTACTGTCCATGACTTAGCCTTTGCACTCAGGGAGATGAGGAGAGAGCACCCAAACGAGGTGCCAACACTATATGTCGGAAAAACCTGAAACCCGTATGGATGTGTCTGGACGCATCATTATGTTCCGCTACCCATTTTGACGTGTTGGCAACTGCAGCAAGGGTACAGACGCCTTCCGAACGCCATCCAAACCCCGTCCCAACGCCATTGTGACCCGTTTACACTGGCAATGAACCAATCGGAATGTGTTCTGATGCCATGTTTATGCCATTTTGACAGTATTAAAATGCTGTTGCAACGAAGGAGTGGCCAATTCGACGCGTTGGCAACGGCTTTTCTGCTTTTGCGTCAGAACGCCCCTTTCCAGTTTTCCGACAATACAAGTCAGACGTCAAGAGTGCTTATTGCCTGATTCTGATGCACCTGTATTGGCAAATACAACAGGTCGTTATGCTCGGCTTGAACCAACCACTACATTGACTGGTGCAATTGCTTTGGCGGGCGCGTGGCTGGGTGTTTATGGCATGTGTACATGTTGCTCATGTTGTGGCTCACGGTTCATTGTCAGCATGTCCGGGCAGCCTTTCTTTATGTAGAAAATGACCACGGAGCTGAACGCCCTCTGTCTGTGTGTTATTATGTGCCCTACGCTCGTGTTTTTCCCGTGGGGCAAGTGTTGACTCTGGAGTTATGGGATGAGACATGGATGCCTCATGAGGAGGCCAAGCAGATACATGGCAGCACGCTCACCATCATCGGTTTCTTGGTCAATGTCATCAACATGTCAGTGTCTCTGCCAGACAACAAGCGGGAGGTCCTCATACAGACTATCGAGAGCTTTGCCTGCATAGGACAGCGTCCAACCGTACGCAAGTGTCAGCAATTGATGGGGTACATCAATGGTCCCTTAATGTCTTCCCACCCATCCGTCCATCCCTGTCCGCTCTGTACCACAAGCTGGAGGGGAAGAATCTGCCCAATGCTATGGTCTGGATTAACAAAGCAACCATGGATGACCTCCATTTGGGGGCTCAGGCATCTACGTACACTTTCAGGTGTCTTTTTCTTTGACTCCATCTGTTGGGATTGCACAGCATACAAGTCGGCTGTTGTTGTTTTCATGGATGCATCGCTCAGGGGAATAGGTGTCTGGTTCCCTGTTATTGCAGGAGCTTTCTATGCAGATGTCATGGGAGAAAGCAGGCCCATATTCTACTGGGAAGTGCTTGGTGTGCTGTGTGCCTTGCGACTGCTCCTGACTGTCATTCTGGATGGTTCCTGCTTGCTCATTTATTGCGATAACCAGAACACAGTCCAACTCTACTCCACGCTTGCAGCCAAACCCGCTTACAACAGTCTCATTAAAGCTGCCGTGGATGTACTCATTGAGAAGCAATGGGATCTACGGGTGAAGTGGATCACGTTGGAGGATAATGTGGTAGCAGATGCGGTGTCACGCCACAAGTTTGCCAAGGCAGCATACCTCTGTCCTGGATTTAACATCCAGACCTTTGCGCTCCCATTGGATCTGGCAGGTGCGCCTCGCAGTGATGGCCAAACGTCCCGCACCCAGGTCATGTCAACCATGAAGTGGCTGTTACTTTAGGATACACTGTTGACCCATCCACCATGCTTGCATACATGTCTGCACTCAACTTGTACCTCAATTTCTGCTGTCTTCACCACCTCCCGTTTCAGTCTACCACCGATACATTCGCCAAATACATAGTGTTTATGCAAACCTACATTCACCCAAAGTCAATCACATCCTACTTGTCAGGCATATGCAACCAGCTTGAACATCTCTACCCTGAGGTCTGCGTAATCCAGATGCACCCCTTCATTGTCAGGGTCCTCTGAGGTTTTCATTGTTGGTGTGGATTGCCCTCAACTTGGACCGAGCCGCTCTCGCAAGAGCATCTCCAACTTGCGGCTGACTTGCTTTATCCCCAAGACTCCTATGATGACAGTTTGTTCCTTGCACAGCTACTCATTGGGTTTTACGCTCTCATGTGCACCAGCAAACTCATGGTGCCTGATCAGCACAGCCTCCTCAACCACTGCAAACTGTCTATGCGCAACACCATTACCGTCTCAGCCTCAATCATCACTTTTAACCTCCCCCAACACAAGGCCAATAAAACCTTTGAAGGCAACAAAATTATCATGTTGGCGTCTACCCTCCAGCCAACGCCGCACGATGCCTTCCTTGCTTACCTCAAAAAGCATGACACACAGTGGCCATTTAAGCCCCATTTATGGGTCCGGGAGAACAGCTCCCTCCCAACCCGCACCTGGTTTATGCACCGCCTGCATGACCTCTTCCCACTTTCCATCGCCAGTCACCCACTCCGCTCAGGGGGTGCTACAGCGATGGCGGAGGACGGCATCCCCGCTGAACGGATCCAGGCAGTTGGCTAATGGTCTTCCGACACTTGGAAGATTTACATGTGCAAGCATCCTGCTCTCTTGAATGCCTTTCTATTAGCTAAGTAACACTACTGTCTCCCCTCCTCCACCCCCTTCCACCGCTACTCTCATTTGCCTCTCTACATACTTTTTTTTTTTTAAAAAAAAAACCTCCAAATAGGCAATACGGGTCAGAGGTTTTGAGACTTGTTTCTAGCTACGTTTTGCTACTTATGCTCTACTTACATTTGGTTGTTTACTTGCTACGCTAGCTGTATGTCTACCAAATATATGTTTTGCCCAGGTTGCTGGCTCGTCCAGTAACCGCAGCACCATCTAAAAATTGCAGCAGTGCTGTCTCGGCAGATGCACAAGGCTCTTTGATTAGTCACTCTTAAAGACCCTGCAGTCAGTGGAGCCTGCTGACTCAACTCGACACACAAACATGTTGCCATCTGCAGCATACTGTACTGCTGGGTACAGCTGTACTTCATCTTTCAGTTGCAAAAGAAATATACATATAAATAAATCACTGGTCAAGACAAAAGATGTACTTTAAAGTAGCAACAGGAGCACCTATTTAGCGAGCACCAGTCGGGTGTATTGCATCTCATCACTGATTGGAGGCAGCCGTGAATCGTGCAGAAAATATGTAAATCAATGTTGCATGCATTCAAGAAGGATTCTCAAAAGGTGGTTGAGTAGTCAATCTATGTGAGCCAGTTAGCCAGGATCATATATTGTCAGGGGCTGCTTACATTGTTGATATCACACAGCATCCACACAAAAGGCTGGATACCAAGGTGAGTGTGCCATCAATGGAAACAGTAGTATACTTTCAGCATGTAGAGGTTAATGGCAGTCTTGAGGACCTCTGGAGCATTGCTTAGAAAGCCATAATGCAGCAGAGCTATGTTTTCTAGCTCCTCATTGTGCTGCAGCACTATGTGCAAGATTGATTCTGAATACAATGGTAGTTAGCCTCAAAAAGAAAGACATTTGACATACTGTTGATTGAGAGGACTCAGATTGAGAAGGTGTGCTGGGTTGGGTCTTCAGAAAGCAATGGTTGATCACAAGAATTCAAGAACCATCTGAGATATTGATGAACAAGTTTGTTGTGTTGGTGGTTCCACTCGTGGTCTGCATATTCATTCCTTTCATAGTGCATTTGCAGCTGTTAGCAGGAGTCATTCCTGAGGGTTATTCAGCCAGGAAGTAGCATATATAGAGTAATAGCACACCTCAGAAACAAACCCTTGAGGGTGGCTTGAATACCTTCATCAATTTCCCCGGCAGCATGTGCACAGTTCCCACCTTCTTAATTTGATGCATACATTAATCTGTTGTCTTTATTACCGGGATACACAGCATTGTGAGCTGCAAACTTTTTGTTGGGTGGTGTACCTGACGCAACAGCAAAGTCATTATAGAGGGCGCATAATGTTGAGGTTATACCTAGACAAACATCTGATTAGTTCCTTCGTAGATAATGAGAAACATACCACCAAAGGCTTCCTGATGAGCTTCTTGTCCCTTCTCTACATCCTTCCTAACTGATACTATGCTCCTCGTCTTGGAAGTCATAGAGGCAGTGCATGCTCCTCCCAAGTCCTGGGCCTTGAGCAAGTTGATGTCCTCTTCCATTCAAACGGACTTGATCCTGCATTTTGAGGCCATAGGGAAGGAGTGAGTGGGGAGGGCGGACAACAAAAACAAAGGGGAGGATGAAGGAAAGGAAGTCACAAGGTAATAAATGAGCAGTCAGCAATGTGTTCAGCAGCAAACTTTGTTGGACTTACAACTGGCATGCCCTTTTTGGCATGTTTTTGAGGACAGAGGATGGGGGAGACAGCAATGGCAGGAGATGACAGGGGTGCTGATAGTAGAAGGCCAGAGGGTGCCAGCGGTTGCCAGCGGTTGTCGCAGGATGAGGAGGGACTTGAACAGGGGCAGGAAAGGAAAGGGGTGGAGATGGCAGGACAGTGGGATGGGACCACCCAGCTGAGCCCAGCTGAGCGGAAAGGGTGGGGAGCACTCAAACATTGCCACCAAAAATGTTGGGGGTGGGAGAACGGGGATCTCAGCCATTGGGGAGGGTGCCAATAGCATTATTTGCCTTAATCTGTATTATCACTAACTTAATCTAATCAGAATCATGGCATCAGGGACCTTGTATTTAGATGTACACTAAAAAAAAAACACTCCACAGCCAAATGCCACAGGACCCAGGCCTAGCAAAATGTCCCCATTTAGCACAGGTAAGACACTTTGGAAGTGTTTTGTGCTTAACAGGTGTGGAACACTTATTAAGTGTTCTTTCCGGTGACAGTCAGGTGTGATACTTGCTAAAACTGATTGCAATTTACTTGCAGTATGATGGACCGGCAAGCAAGCTGGGTCCACAAGTCAAATTTGAATACAATACATGCAGTGCAACCACTATTCAGAAACTTGTGGGGGTCAAACCTGAAGAGTAGCCTAATTTTCTGTGGCCTACTGATTGCTGACTCATGTATGACATGCCATATTGTGCTATCTGTGCTCAACAAGTTCTTTTGGCTCACCTCAAATAAGTGACAGTAAAAATATGTAATTTGGTAAAGCTGACACATGCAATTATCTGACTAGGTAAAAAGGGTCTTGCCTACTTGGAAATTTTTGGTATTTTGTCTGCATTGTTGACACTGACAACTTGTTGGGCAAGCTCTATTCCTTTGTAAAGTGGTGGTAAGTGAATCACTATGCATCTGCCCAGTCACCACAAGACCTTGCATATCCTATCTTTCTTGATGATTTGGTAGACACTCTATGAAATGATCCAAAAGCACATTGGTAGATCAAGGTAATGAATTCTTTTCAACACACTATCAGTAAAAGATCATATTACTAATCACATTTTGCTAATCACAGCTTGGAAAATAGCAGCATTTATGGGAATCAATAATATCAGACAACATCAAAGAAATACTTGCATTATTCACAAGCCCTATTTCCAACCCAAGTGTAGCTATTGCTGGTGCTTTGCTGCCACACCTGGAAATGCTCACCAATATGGTTAACAAGTTGGAATGTACAGAACTTTTTTTTTGCTTGCCAGCTACTCAGTTTGCTGTGGGAAACCAACTCTTTGAAAAATCCCTTGTTTTTGGTGGCTTGCTTACTACTAGTGATGCAGCACATATTGCTTACTGGACCTCCTGGATGTCTCTGGCTTAGCTTTGGGGACTGCATGGCCATGGCATAATCACTGATTTTACTTGCATGTTTCTGCTATTATATATACTACTCAACTAGCAGGTATTATCACATCTGATACTGAAATAACCAGCACCCAGGGCATTCTCCTTGTAGCATGGGAGCATCTGATCAAAGGTCATCTCCAGAATGTCATAGTATAGCTTTGCCAGGTAAACATTGACTGTGAATATCTACATCTCTTAGAGCAGAGAAGGCTTACCAATTCTCCTGAAGCTGGGGGTGCTGGTATGTGCAATAGGGTCAATGTGTTGATTGCTGTCAGAACAACTGGAGTCCATATGTCAGTGTCCCCTCACATTGGAAAAAGTACTGTGTCAAGCACAAAAATGAGCTTTGAGGTAATAAGCATTAATTTACTAATTGGACAAAAGTTGACTGAGTTTACAACAGGTATGAAGCCAGTTCTCAGAGGCCCTCAACAATACTGTCCTGAATGCAGTGACTGGCGAGGTGACTGAGGGTCCACCATTGCCACAAAAACTTATACCCAAATTTTACGGGAAGAAAAAGAAGCCAAAAAAACAATCAATATGAGGCTATTCCTGCTGACCAGGGCAATGCAAAATAACTTTGCTCTAGGACTAGTTTTCCAGCAGTGTAATTAATGTTTTCTCAGGTCAGGTAGCAGTCACAAGAGAGTATCCTGTCATGGTCATTATAGCAGCATCAGTTTTATATGCGTGGTGAGCAGACATTCAAAGTATGTATGGACATATTATTTATACAGCAGTACTATCTCCATATGTTTTGTGTGTGGCTTGCATTATACCAAGAATTGGGTCTGCCTCTGCTTGCTGCCAGATTTACTGTGGACTACCTGGCTTGCAGAGAAAATGTGTTGACTACAGCACATGTCTACAGGGCCAGGCAGCCTGTGGCCTGGCAACTCCTGTTTGATATAAACCCTCTGGGCCATATTATCCACTTTTTCTGTTTGCAGAAAATGTACTGCCCATGGCAGTGACATAAAAGCAAGAAAGAACAGGAAAGAAAGAGCACAAAATAAAGTGCAGGTACCCATATATAACTGGCTGCCCATGGGTTCAAATAAGTGCAAATAACCCTGCCAACTTGCACCTGTGACTGATCATACACCTGTCACCATGTCATCAACCTATTTCCATCACCTCTGCTCTTGCCCTGTCCCCTTCACTTTTGCCCTCTTTGCTATCTTGAACCTAGCTCCACTATGTGTGTTGCTCAAGCACATGTACAGCACCACTGCCTCAACAATGTTTGCCCTGCACCACCTGTGACATCTTGCTGCAACCTGTTCAGCACTTTTACCTTGCACATCCAGCCAGTTGTTAATGCTCAAGCAGGACTGGTATTGTGACCCATGGGCCATGCATATTGTTAAGGGTGATGTCCCAGCACCAGTAATCAGTTGTGCAACTTACCAATGGGCACCTGCATCTCTTTGTTAATTCCACAGGTGCCAAAGCAAGGACGCGCGGGAATTCAGAAGAAACCGGCGCCACAGGTTGGCGCGACCGGCGATGCACGGTGCGGCCTGAGGACTAAACCCTAAGAAATAAATCCCACGTGACCCATTCGTGTCGTGCCTGGCAGCCTGAACTCCAATTCCTTATATGTTCGCCCCAAGGAATCTGCCAGCCACCAATGGTAGGTATATAGAGCAAGCAGTCTGGGGCCAATCGCTCTTCCTCTATCCCCACCACTATCTTTCTTATCTTCCCCTCCTTTCATCCGCAATACCCCCCCTCCAGCGTCGACATGCCTGTCGGGGCTGAAGAGCCACATGTACACGAGGACGGCATGGTGCAGTGCGGCTTCTGCACCTGCCTCACACTCTTGAGGCTGTCTGTTGTTATCGGTGACACCCCTAACCAGGGTCGCTTCCATGTCAAGGTGCGTCTTATATCTCACTCATACCTCTTGTATTCTAACTATAGCCTTAGTGCTTCAAGTCGCACTTTGGCTGGCCACCAGGGAAGTACGATTTCTGGTACTTCTGGCCCCTTGGTAGTGCCCATCTGTGGATCCTCCACATTGCACGGCTAAGCAGCACGCTGCTGCCGTCCTCGTCCTCTATTGTCGCTGCCTTGGCAGTCATCGACGGCTTCACCTCGTCTGGATCAACATCTGCGTCAGCCATGGGTCCATCTCAGCCCCAGCCCAAGACTCGGAGATCTGGCAAGAAGGCCTGCACAGAGGCTAACTGCCCCGGATCGACAGTGAAGGGCTGCAAACGCGAACTGTGCTACTCGCAATGTCGCCTTTTCGGCAACGACTGCCCTATCCTCTCCCATCGGCACGATCAGGACCTCGCGAAGAAGGTGTCAGGGAAGGGAAAGGCATGGGAGCGCACGCCGTCCTCAATGCTCTCGCCTTCAGCCCTGCCTGACTCCACGCTGGTGCCAACATATGCTGACCCGGGCCTACCGTCGACATCCACAGGCCCCTTTGACGCTGAGTATGCGACGTCTCAGGCTATGCCGCTTGAGCCCCCCCAGCAACCTCTCTACTCATCGCTGCTTGCTGCCATTGAGGCGAGCCAGCATGCATATGCAGTCACTTTGGCGTCGACCCTGCCTCATGCTCTTGCGTCGTTGCAGCCTTTTTGCCCTTTGCAACCTTTCCCTACCCCCTCACCACTACCTTCTCCTCTAGCACGCCCTCTCTCCCCCCCATCACCGGAGCCATCCCCTCTCCCTTTGTCACCGCTGCCTCCCTCTATTGAGCCTTTCTCTTTCTCTTCAACCCAGCCTCCACGGCTGACACAGCCAACACAACCACAACCTAACCCCCCACAGTCGGCCTCAGGACAACCATACACGCAACAGATGGAAGACGCTTGGTTCGAGGACTGGAAAGACATCCCAGAGCAGTCTGCTGTCACGAAGCGGATCCAACAAGAGCAAATGCGTGACAAACTGGATGACGACGACACCCGAAAAGCTACCATTGTGTGCTATGACACTGTACGTTTTATTTCTCAATGTTTCCATTGTCTTTCCAGTCTAACTTGTGCTACAGCCGGGCGATGCACAGGTCTCGTGTCTCAAGGGCAATCGTGGACTTCCGCAATACCCGTACTTCAATCTCAAGTCATTTCTCACATCCTCATATGCCAACAACCTCGCTCCTCTCGGCGCTGATGCAACCACGATCTAGACATGGAATCGCGGGTTCAGGAAATGGGTCAACATCGGTGTCGACGCGAACATTCGCCTCAAGAAACAATGAAAACTCAAGAGCGATGACGATGAGGACAATGCTCAAAACGTTCTCATATTCAAGTGGGCCCATGTCCAAGCGAGCGGGTGCCAGGACTTGCACGATTTCATCAAGATGAAGGACCCCCACCGCGCTGACGATCTTGTTGCCTCTCGCAGTCACCGTTGCAAACGCCCCAGATACAACTTCCCTCTGTCGTCGCCCGACGTTGTGACTTCCATGTCGGACGAGGCCTCCTCTGTCGAAAGTCCTAATCCCCCATCCGCAAAGCGCAGGAGGACGACTCCTCTATCCCCCTCCCCCTCTATGCCTCCTTGCTCCTCCTTGCTCCTCCCTGCATCTTCTTCACATGTTGTCGACGTTGACGCATTGCCCAAGGAGTTTCGCCATCTCAAGTTCGACAACATCAATGACGACACCACTCGTCCGCCTTCGATACCGGCCCTTGTTTGTGCCAAGGTGAAGACAGTCGGCCGTACATGGTGGCCGGGTTCATGGCACGCCTACGACATCCACTACGGCCTCAAGCTAGCTCGCAGTTCCAAGATGTCCTTTATGGGCTTCGAGCGGGCTTTTTGGCGGGTGTTTGGCGTCCGCTACGTTAAGAACACGGTCAATGACAGCGAACGACGATGGAACGCACTCAAGTACAGTGAACAGGTTGCCTTTCTCAAGGCAAAGTACAACAGCCAGGGCAACTGGTCAAAGGTGACAGGGCGAGTCAAGTTCAAGACCCCTTCGAACATCAAGTCTTCCTCGCTTTCATCACATTGTCGTGGCCTCGGTACCCAGGACAATCCCTTTGAGATCTCCATGTCCCCGCCAATCAAGGTCGAATCCCCACCACCGCCAACGCTGACCTTTGAAGAGGAGGAGGAGGGGACCGACACAGACTAGTCTACATGTTGTGGTTATGTAGTTATGTTGTAGTTTTGCATCGCACTCGCATTCGTGTTGTCATGTTCATGTCAAAGGCAATATATTTGTTTTGTAGAAAATAACAAGAGAGTAAACTAAGAGGGGGGAATGGGTGGGTGCCTGGGACGATGTCCCTTAGCCTTCAAGTTTGCTATCACTTCTATATTATGAAGGCGAACCATTTCATCTAGAAAAAAGTTGTAGCGAACAGGAGACATCTCACGAACAATGGCGTGAAAGGAACCAAGCCAGACATTGATCTGCTCGGCAACGCTGGTGTTGAACCACCAGCCCTTGCCCTTGCCCTTGCCCTCGTCCTCGTCCTTCAGCAGCTCAGGGAATGCGGCGGGGTTGCAGTGTTTTTGGCAAAACTCGTGCGTTGTCTTATGTTTGTTCAAGAGATGCCATACGTCGACTACCATCCTGACGTCATCCCACCACGGGTCGCCCATGGCTTGCTGCTTGGCTTCGCAAGCGGTGTCGTATACCCAGAAGTCTGGTTTCTGGGCTCCCGGGAGGCTGAACACCTTTTTAACCATGATCTATGGTGAAACATGAGTGGTATGCATTTAGAATAAACATATGTTACTCACAAGGACGTTTGAAACCGCCTCGGCACCGTAGAAAGTGCTGCGAGCAAGTATCACACCACAAGGGTGCACGATGGTCACCTCGCAGTACGATCGACGTCTTCCGAGGAGAATTCTCATACGTTTGGGCTTCTTGGCATGGGCGCCTGCCTCAGCAAGCTGTTTGGGTCCTGCGTCGGGTACACCGATGTTTGTCGGGTTAGCGGTCGGTTTGTGGTTGATGTTTCCATCTTCGTCAAGGTCAAACCAGTCGACGGTGTCATCGAGAATGCCCCCATCACCACCATCTAATGCCGTGTCGTCAACGGTGGCTTCGGGACGCGATGTCCTGCTGCGAGCGAGTCGGCTCTTGAGGGCGAACATCAACTTGGCGCGGTCCGAACTTTGAACCTCCATCGTGCGATGCTCCTCATCATCGCATGTCTTCTTGGTTTGAACAGTCATAACGATGGGCCAGTTGCAGCCCACAACGGTGCAGAGATCGGCGAGGTTTTCCTTCTTGCACTGTTCACACCACGGCTCGCGAGTGCTGATTGGCGCCTTTGTGCACCGGAAAGTTTTGCATATGTAGTGGCCAATGGTGATGCCGTCCGAGACAGCCATTTGGCACTTATCTAGCTTTAATAAGATATGTTGAAGCGAAAACAAGAGATTGAAGTACTTACAACCTGTTTCCTTGCCGGTGCTGTCAGTCTTCCTCCACATGCGCATACACAAGTCACAGTAATGGGGCAACTCGTCCTGGCCGCTGTTCACGATGTATAGGTTACGCTGCTTCATAGCTGCGTTGAAGCACTTGTGCTGCTCGCCTTCGTGCGGGACCACAAGTCGTGTGCCCTGAGCGTGGTGGTGGCAAAGCAGAGCGTAGATGTAGAAGGCACTCCATACCTGCTGAGATTTGAGGTTGGGGCTGAACGAGACGTTGAGATCGCCGGCAGAGAGGCGTGTTTGTGTGTAGTAGTGGCTAGCAAGGTATTCGCCTTTGCGGGCGAAGCAAACATTGTAGAGTTTTGTGCAGCTTGTGGCAGATGTCCTGTGGCTCCATCAGCAAACCGGAACAGAAAAACATGTACGGCACTTACGCAGATACTACCATCTGATGGGTCCACATGTTCACGAGTCAAGTCTCGACGTAGTGATGTTCGTCAACTTGAATCCATTCAGGTATTTGTTTGTGGTATTTGCGTGTCGAGGCGTCTTCGACGACATAGTTGCATCAGTGTACGCGGCCACAGGCTGACGTAGAGACACAATTAACTGAAAGAATGGCAACATTTAGACCGGGAGAACTCACATTCGCAGGTTAGGTTCACCACCTTGGCATATTGGACGCCAAAGTCCATGGTGAATGCTACTGCCTCGCCGATGGTCTGAGTCCGCATTTCCGACTTCTTCTGACAGCCGTCGCTGTCACAAACGCGAGCAGGAGGATAAATTGAAACGAGGGCTGATATAGTGTCAAATGTCTAGCCACGAGAAAATAATGGAAGACTCACGGAGTTTCAACTCCCACCCAGTCTCCTCAAACATAGACGCTAAGTCCTGCTGACGCTCCCAAGATCGAGGCATTACCCATATCGAGTCCTTGAGGAGTAGCCATAGATATTCGAGGTTCTCTATGGTGATGCGTGTGACGGTGGATAACCACCGGATATGGGGGCGAGGGATAGTGGGTGGGGCCTCGTCAATAGTGTTGCGCTTTGCAGGCTGAACCAGGGCAAAGTCATCGCGAAGTTCGATGCAGCAGTCCATGAACATGACCACTTGCATCAAAGACACATGCGAGAGCTGGGGTATGCGGCCAATGACGTTGGCTATCTGCGCGAATGTCAGTGACATTATATTGACGGAATGAGCATGGAGATATAAGGCAAGGGAGGGGAGGGGGGAGGAGAGACCAAGCCTACTCAAGATGGGAGACACACTGGTATAAAGGGCAAGGAGCGGCTCTGTACTCACCACAAATGTGTACATGGGTACGAGGATCCGAAGGGGCTGGATCGAGGACTGGAGAAAGAAGGTGGGGCACTGAGACTCCCATGTGGCCGTATAGAGGGTGTTCGGCGGCGATACAATGCGCTGAGTATGGCAAGAAGGCCATATAGAGAGAACGGGGCTGCAAGATGAGGGTGGCAGCGGAGCGCTGAAGTGCTGAAGGCCAGAGGACGACAGGAAAGAAGACGGAGGTTGAGGCCGAGGTCTTGGATAGAAGCCAGAGGAGTCAAAGTTTTGTATCGAGGACGCGAGAAAGAGGAAAATGAAGACGTGGAACGCGAAGCAAAGAAGAAGTAGAACGCAAGAAGATGAGGATCAGTGGGAGAAGTGGACAAGAAGATGGGCAGTGGAAGAGGATGAGATGCTCGCCTGGACTGGCGGCAAACAGGGGCTAATGGCTGTGCAAACGCGACGAGACTAAAATCAAGGTGACTGTGGGAAGTTTACTTTAGCGTGGGAATTAGGGTTACAGCCGTTCGCGCCAAACGTCGCCGCCGGTTGCTTTGGGTAAGCTGCGCAATCTGGCCAAAGCGGGCAACAACCTCAGCACAACAAATGCCTACAGTGTATGTAGAAATTGAGCATAATAAGTGGGAGATGTCTACAAACAGCTTGCTAAAGGGATATATATATAGTGGCTGGACAAATTTGACTCTCACCATCATATCCAACCCTGAGGAGCTAAGTTGATGCTATATGTTTTCAGTGATGATGTCAGCATGAACAACTAATGTATCAGACCTTAGTCACTGAATGGTTCCTCAGCCCTGAGGCTGTGTGTGAGACCTGTAATGCTAGATCAGAGACCAAGTTGCAGTTCTTTATCAAGGATACAGCCCAGGTCAATCATACAATAAAATGTAGATCTACTTTTATGGACATATATATATACTGACTTTTTGTTTCAGAATAGAGATGACTTCTTATTGCGTGCTCATTGAATATTGGGTGAGGCTCACACTGCAGCTGCCACAAGTTTACTGCACAATTTACAAGTGCTGAAGCAAGTCCTCAAGGAGGCACAACAGGTGAATGAGAGACTGGCATCACATGAAGAAAAACAGACTGCTGTAAGTTAAACACATTTCAGATGTCTGCAATGTGTTCAGTGACTTGAAATTTTCAGAGCGCCTGTACAGCTGGCTTGCTGAAGTAGAAAGCCATGCATGCAGCAACCAATGTGATGTTCATGTACATGATAATATGGTTTTCTTTTGGTATTTTTACTCTAACTATTAGTACAGCCCTGGCATATTGGTAAAATGGCTCAGTTAGAATACAATGCTGGACTGCTTAATGCCTATGTTTGGGGCCTAGCAGATCATGTGAGGTGCAGCCATGCTAACAATTAGATCAACACTAGTGGATAGGCTTGCATTTGTATTTCCCTGCTTTAAATGTACCTCTCTAAATTTGTTTTCTTATTCAAGCTTTTGCAGCACTAATTATTGACTGCATGATGATTGAAACCATATACAAGCTAGTTGTAGCACTCTTTGGCTGACAGAGGTTACATTGTAAGCTGCTCTCGCAAACTTAGGCTGCAGGATAATTGCAATACTATTGGACAAGAGCTGCTTCAGCCTCAACTCCCATGGAATCTGCTTACCAAGTGATTGCAATGTACTATACTCACTAATTGCAATTGGCTTTTGCTTGGGGACTAATCGGAACAGGGTGCTTGTATTATGATTGCAAGCAATGTCAAGCACTTGAAATCCATTTTTTTTGCAACATTGTCCAATATTGTGAATGCAATTGTTGACAAGAACAGTGATCTCTATTGTATATTCTAACTTTAGTCTATCAAATAATAACATGTTAAAAAATGACTTGTTTGTTGTATTAGTATTGCTGCTACAAATAGTACTTCTGTTGTCACCTGGAGGCAAAAAGTGTGAGTTATGTACAGTAGTAGACTAGAAAGGATCTGGACCTGCAGTAAATAAAACTGATTTGGTTTTTTGAGAGTTGCCATAGTGCATGTCATTATCATCTAAGTCCATTATTGAAAAAGATACATCTTCACTAACTTGGCATGACATGGCCCACCTAAGCATTTTGTTGGCATTTATCTACTTTACAGTGGTGTTTTTAGCATGGCTGGACACCTGGGATCAACTGCACTGACCTTTTGATTTTGTACTGGTTTTTTTTCTTGGCCTCTTGGTGTTTAGAATAAAAACATCAGGAAAATTATCACCCTCTCACACCATTGCATAGCAATTGTTTACATCAGCTCAGTGCTGCATTGATACAAAGCAAGACATGTTTCTGGCTCACAGGTGATTGAATGGTTGGAATTGTCATAGAACTGGCATGCTTGATCTAAGGCAGCCTCAAGAAACTGGGAGTTTCCCACGTTGGGGGACTTGCAATCAAAATTGAGTGCACTTCCCAAGAATTAGGGATACAATATATCAACATGCTCCCACTTGTGGTGTACCCCATTTCCTGCCACCCTGGTAGTATGCAACCTTGTGGTTATTGGGATAAAACAGGAAAATACTGTATGTACTCAGAAGAAGGATTTGATGACATTTTCCAAGTAAATGGCATTCAACATGAACTTCATGAACAGAGAAAAGGTGTGGATCCTCAAGATACCATTGACTTGGGCTATATACGGGCTAGCTAGCATGATGCGCCAAAAGAACAGTCTACAGAAGGTGAAAGCCGTACACTGGGGGGATGCAGACTGTGATTAAGAAGGTCACACTGATGTTTAAGGTTTGACAAGATATTTTGATCAAGTTGCCTGCATAAGCACTCCTGGAAGGGAAATCAAGCACTAATATTTGATGGTGTGTAGTGTCCACAAGATATTACTTATTACTGTCAAGAGAGCTGATAAACCATGTTAAAATTATGACATAACCCTTGAGATCCCAGAGAGCCTTCTTGCCAGGCTTCTGTCCAAGTTCTCTAAGCTCCTTCGACCTCCAACTTCTGCTTTTGGGTCTCTTATCACCCATCTGTTCAGTGCATGTAATTACAGCTGTGCCATCCAGTATGGCTTGGACAATTTGTTGTTTACCTATCATACACATTGACAGGGGCACATTCTTCCCCTCTGACTTCTTCATAAACCTGATGGACCACTTTTGTTCACTTCCTCCTTTTTTACCATTCAGTAGGAATTCTCTTATCTAGCATTCTCAAAAATTTGTTATTGATGCAAATATTGCTACTGCACCTGAATCAAAATCAGACCCATGCAGTGATGGGACCTAGCAAACTAAAACAAAACAACTGCTTGGACCTGTAAAAACACTGATGTACATTTTTTTCTCTTGTTTATTCAAAACATCTATATTCAATACTAATAAAATACTTTGGCAGTGGCTTTGTCTCATTTTCCACAATTATGGAGATGTGAGCCAATAATAAGCTATCAACAACTAGATTGCTTTTAGTGTCACGATTTTTTTCTTTTTTGTTTTGCAATAGTTCTGACTGGTCTTGCAGCCACTGGAGAGGGAGGAGTTTGCTTTGGGAGACATGCAGGGAGTGAGGAAGGTGCCTGAGGTGACTAAGGAAGACTGGATGGCAGTGGAAATGAGTCCGATGAGGGAAGAGGGGGATTGATTACACTGGCAAGTTGTGAAAATATCACCTGGAATACCAATCATCTTTCACTCACTGTGTAGGATGGGTATTGAGTGTAAAAAAGGTTGGGAATGGTGAATGGCATGTCAGCAGATGTGTATTGCCCATTCCAGCATGCAGCAAATACAAAGTTTGAAGCCCCCACTCTCAAACATGCAACATAGTTGGTGTATGGAGAAATACTGAAGCTAGCGGGAAACACAGTGTACCAGAGTCAGACTATGCTCTTGTCCTTGGCCCTGACCCCCCACTCCCCTGACCTCTTTACCACCTTTACTGACACCAATCATGGTGGATGCAAGGACTTGGGACGCTCTACTGGCTCTTACCTTGTTTGAGTGGGTAGGGGTGAACAAATTATAGCCTTATTGCACCTTGTACAACACCACGAGCTCAGGATGGGAAGTGCAGCAGGCAGAAATGTGGAGAGGCAGCTTTCAAGCCATGATAACCACAACTACATCCTCCAATGGCATCCTCAGTCCTGATGTATGGGCAGCCCATCTTACCAGTAAGTTGTATTTCTGCACATGTATGCTTGATGCACACAGGAAACTACATAGTTCATCCTGTATCAGCTTACAGATGCAACAATGTGATGAGAAATCTCATTTCCATTGATGAAAACATGGAAATGGATGATGCCTCAGTGGAGATTGTGATGTTCATCACCGCCAGTGGTAAGTAAATTCTATTCCCCATCTACATATACCTTGTACTGTGAGCAAACATCACAGATTTCATTTTTATCAGAAGGGTACTCATGTGGAGGTGCTGAAAGGCCCACATGGGTTGTCTCATTTGTCATGGTTGCAAGTGATCATGACATTCTATGGTGTGTTCTACTGTTTTCCTGTTTGCATGCAGCTAATCATGGATTCATTACTGCAGATACCAACCATGCTGCCATAGAGTGGCACAGTCTAGACCTAGTTCAAGTTTGCAGCACCTTTTCATTCTTCTATGTGCGGAAATAGTATAGGAGGGTCTTGAGTTTTGATTTTTGTTCTTTGTGAAATTATACCATGGACTTTGTGACATTTGCAATTTATAACAGTATATATTTCTATCAAATGTAAGTAAAACCTTTGTAAGCAAAGACATGTGACATCACACATTGTAAGCATGTTAATAAGACGTGTCATCTATTTTGAAGTCACTTTAAGCTGTAGTTCAGCAGCTGACCATGCAAAATGCTGACTCTTCCAAGGTAGGATGAAGTTGGCTGATACATC